GTAAATCCCCTTTCCTGTTCTTGCCGTATGCTGCGCTCCACCAACTATCGTACCGCACCGGAAGAGGTCTTTCGTGCTCCTGTGTGTCCTGATAATCTGCTGCATAAGTGTTACTTCAACTCTCTGCTCAACAAATACAAGCCCGGCAAAAGCTTCTCTATCTTCCTCGCTGTGATACTCCTCTAACAGGACCTGAATCAACTTCTCCATCTTATCTGTGAGCCTTCCCTCGACAGGTCCGACATCTCTGGGCACTGCGACACCCCTTAGAACCGATTTTAGATGTGTTTTCTCGTCGCCATTCCACTCTATCAATGTTCCCTCTCCGTCATTTTCCTCGGCACCTCGCAAGGTCCTTGATAATGCTTCTTTGATGTACCATTCCGTGGCCCATACTCCGTATTCTTTCTGGATGTGAGACGCTTTGGTGACAAGCCCTTTCATTTGAGTTTGACAGTAGGTACCCCTACTCGATATCAAGCTCTGAATCTTACGCTCATTAGGGACAGGTGATTGGCGTAGAGAAACAATATACGGATCATTCTCAATATCCATCTTCATATACGCATTTTTGAGGGACTCAAACGCCGAAGAGGTTCCTTGAGAAATTATTACCGGCAAAGGATTTGAGGATGGTACTGGTAGTCGGTGCGGGCTTATTGATGTAGCTGCTGGTGGTGTTGACGATCGTGAACGTGAAGGTGACTCGCGTCGAGAGGAAGGCGTGTAAACCTCTCCGGTCCTAGGGTCGATCACCTCGTATGTATCTGATTTAACGGAAATGGCATCTGGTGAGTGTGGTCTTCCGGGTATAAGAACATCCCCTGTTCTTGGGTCTATAATCTCGAACTCCTGTTCATGTTCCTGTTCTTTCGCAAAAGGCTCGCCTGTTCTTGGATCTATGCTTTCGAACTGACCCTCAGGTATCTCAGTCTCTACTCCGTTTGAAGGTCCGTCCGTCTCATGGGTATCCTCATCAGAGTAATAAATGCTATCCCCGCTGCAGCTATCACCGTCACAACCTCCATCTATATTAATTATTGCCCGTTCAAGCGCTTTCATATTAAAAGTATCATTTGTGCTCCCGTTAGAATAGTCCGAGTCAATATCCAGGACTTTCCCCGTACTAGGGGGGGAAATATCCTCTGGTAATCTGGCTAATGGTGTGAAGGATTTAAATTGTGAAGAGCTGTATATAACTCTTTTGAGCTGTGGTGGGTAAACATGTTTGAGAAGTTCGATTCGGTTTATTACCGGCGTCCGAGCAATTGCGTTTAGATTTGCTTCAATTAATCTATGGAGACAGTTCAGTATGTGGAGAGAAAGCATTAAGATGGGCTAATTAATATATACCGAAGTTGATCGGGCCTTGCTCTTACCACAGGACTTGCCGTAAGTCCAAGAATGGCTGGGACATATAACGACTTTTTGAGCCGTTCATGGTAGAAATCCTGCATGATTCGGTTTGCTGGGTGAGAGCTAACGCAATGATGTGCTGCGAGGGGATATATATTAGTAAATTCCAAGGCAACTATATATCATACCCCCGTATTTCATGAAGTTTACTAGTAAATCTACTCCTTTTAAGGCCGATTTAACGATACTTGGGCCACAAACCTTCGTCAAAAATTAGCAACCCGATTTTTTCGAGCTTCACGAAGCCATGGGTCAAGGCATCCAGCAGCACCTACCCGTTAACTATCAGTACCCGGGTCCGTATTACTTTTTGTCTAGTAAAGTGATATTTGTTCTTTATTAGGGATATATTGGTGAGTATATACTTACCTGATGAGTACTGATAATCACTGCGCTTTGTTCACTGTTTAACCCTAGAACACCATCCCAAATCTCTTGATCGCTCCATTTATCCACTTTATCGTTCCCACTCAAAAACTCTATTTTCACAGGTGGTAATGAGCCTTTCAAAACATCATATTGTTGTGTTCCTAGCGCGACGTTTGGTACCAGAAACCAACACAGCTAAAACATATTAGCACACGATTTCAGGCTTGATAAGGTTATTATTGCTATACCTTTCCGTTTCCTTTCTCTAACTCCGCCTTGATCCGAAGCACAGCGCTGTAGAAAAAACCGTTCAGTCAAAATCAATTCTCCTAACTAATTTTATACAGAACTCAGGGACTTTATGGTATTGCGGGGATATTGAAAGGAAACAATTCTGCTCGTTACATATGCGTCTTTCCAGATCCGGTATCCATCTGCGTCATGTTAGTACGTACACTAGATAAAATCTGGATCTTTATACGCCATACCGCGACAATGATATTCCTTCTCAAGCTCTCTTGAAACATTTCCATCTGGTAGCCTCTCGTCTTCTCTAGACTACTCACCAAATCGACTCCTCGTCCAACCCCATCGGCGCCGAAGCCACCATTCTCGCTTGCCATGTAAAACTTGGTATTTGGTGTGAAGAACGGGGGTGATATAGACTTTCGATTACGAGGAAACGAATATTGCGTTGATGATATCAATGAAAGCACGGAGAAGTCGTTCTTTTTATCCCTAACTAGGAATGACCACGTGCGGGGTAACACATGCCTAATGCGACGCGCAATTCTAGAAAATCCCCCCATCCAGTGAATACAACTCTTGTGAATACCATTTTCGATAATCGTCTGGGTTCGAATTCAGGCATCCACGATCAATCTTCAGGCAACCCACCAGAAACTATCGGGAGAGAAAATTCTCATTTTGTGTGAAGATTGTGTCACCTTGGATGCCTGACTCACGAAGCGAGATCACTATCCGACTATTACGGCACTACAAAGGTTAGCGATTAACTACTTATCCATTTTAAAGATAGGAAGATTTCATAATCCATATTACAGACTTACCTTTACCTACATAATATCTTTGAGTAGGAGACATCGAGCCAATCACCATTCTTCTACGTACAGTATGTGTTTTTCTACGAGTGGATATCGAAGTCAGTTTATTCAGTAACCAATTGATGGCGCGCGCGCAAGTCTCTAATAACTATAAGTTTCGATGTGCGAATCGATATAATTATATAAATTATTAGGGATAGACTACTTACAGTTAGCTGCCATGGGTCAAGCCTAGAAAAGTGCATAAGCTGCCGGCTAGTTAGTACAGCCATAGCCAGACAGCACCAATAATTTATCACTATAAACATTTGAATGCTGCCAGATTTGATTATGTATGTACATCATATAATATATGCAAATCAATGCGTTTTATCACATCCATAGATCTGATATCCAGAGACAGAACGCTTCATACCCAGGATTTATTGAAGCCGCAAGTCCGTTTTAAAATAAAGGCACATGGCACAGAGTAGAATATTCTCAAAAAGGTCTTGAATTTAGAGTCATGGTTACTATGTGCACACGTGCGAGTAAACAATGCTTAAGATTATCGTGCTGTAGAGTCAGATGGAAATCCCGTATTCAGTTCGCATCTTGGAAACTGATTTGCACCTGCCTCTGATAGGATCAAGATTGCTAGATGCACTGAATATGTATTGCCAGAGACGCGGAGTTAAGGGCTTTGAACTTTTATTTCTGGTCTGCCTCGGGCTAGTAAAATAATTCTTGTGCAAAGGATGTTCCTTGAAGTATTGGAATGGCAGAATGAATCCCCTGCTTTTTCGGTTGAGCGTAGATCCAAACAACTTACGCCCCTAATATCATAAAAGGCTGCAAATGATTGAAGATTTTTCTGTTCAGCGGATAAACTTAAGCGCGTGATGATCGAAGTAGATACTCTATATGCATATGTACGCTAAAGCAAGGGCCTGCTTTAATCGGGGCCCGTCGGGTCTTTAACGTTTATTATATATTATTCTCCCTCGAGCTCTGTTTTTACTCACCGTGTGCATTTAGCCAGTAACGTAGCGCACTGGTATTCATCACTTCTTATAACTCGCAATACTTTAACCTCCTGAGTGTTTGCATACAATTAAATGAAGTAATCAATCAATCAACATCCTGAGTGTTGAATGGCGATCCCCGCAGTTTGAAGTTCATAGCACTTATCTCGACCCGTTCGCCCTTGAGATTCCCGAGACTCACCTACCTATCTTATGATGGCGGCGTTGCCAGTGTCGTCGGCGACGCGGCGACAAAGACGGATGAACTCGAGGGTAAACAGCCTGATTATCCCATTAAAGGTACGAAGTCTTATTTCCTCTTTAGGTATCGTGCCCCGCCCTTACATACGTCGGTGGCTTTGAATAAAGCTTTTTTCTATCAACAATACCACTGTATGTAACGGCCCACGCTTTAAACCGATGAAGCGGCAGTCCAATGATTAGTATTGTAACTACATCTCCGGCACTGGTATGCGGGTTGGGAGTAAATGGGCCCCGTGGTATTTATTTTTCTAAACACTTCTGTAGGTATCATAAAGGTGATTATGAAGTTCCCATGTTGATTTGTCCGTTCGCCCCTTGCTTCATATATATCCTAACATATTATTCCCATTAAATATTACAATATAGTTTATTTTTACTGTTCCCACCGGTAAAAAGAAAACCGTTCGATCGAGCTGGTGGAGTTACCTTGTAGGTACATAACCTGTAATAGCGATTGATTGACAAAAAAACATGCGTCAAGTCCCAATACCCGCAGATTGAAGTTGATCGGCGGGTGTAAGGTATTCGAATCTCACAACTACCGCCATAACTCGAAAAATTGGCTAGCTTCCAGAGATCAAAATTACTTGTATGGGAAACTTCTGATGCAGATCGATGCCATTCAACCAATCACTCGAGTGATAATCCCTGGCCGGAGATAGCCAATTTTTTCGAGTTTTGGTGGTACTAGGTAATTAACTAATCAAGCTTACTACTAGCACGCTAGCTAGTAAGCGTTCCTAGTTGTGCGGAGAAACTCCGGGGAGGCACTGGCAGGGTCGAGGTTTCTCCACAGGTCGTTAGGGATTCCAACGCCAGTTGTTGGCCCCAGCAGCGCGGGGAGCACAGCTAAATCTATTGCGGATACGGTGATGTCTCCGGTTTATTCAGTCCTAAATCGGACAGTGCCGAAAATTTGAAACGGCCGGGGGATCCTCGGCTGTATTTCGAAATTCTTGGCTAGGCGTCGTTAATTGTGAGGTTTGGAGATTAAGGTTTGAACACAGGGCACGATAAGGTAGCAAATATTTCGCGCAACGCTCACCTATCTCTCTCTGCCTTGAGCAGTTTCATTTAATACGAAGTGATGCTCACTATCATATCACCGAATCATATACGTCATTCGTGATATGCTGATACGTGCAGGCAGACATGAAAGAAAGAAAAACATATACCTTGTCAAGTTGTGTGTCTCTGGGTTAGTAAAAGCAAGCAACTTTGACAAGTGACTATCATCATTAAGCACATACAAGCATTGCCACGGCTCAACACTAATGCGGGTATTCCCAAAGTCTTGTTTGTCGTCGGCCCATATGTGATGATTTGACCATGGAAACACAGGCAAGCTCCTGGCAGAGGAATGTGACGAGCTACCCCTATTAGCTGGCATGGTCAATAAAGCTGCGAGTTCAGAGAAGAAATAGAGATATATTAATTGCATGTACCCAAGGCATATCGAGGTTTTTGGAGACGAGGCCTTGGTCGCCTGCAAGGAGAGGTCAAGGAAAAAGAAAAAACAAGGAATGGCGCCCGCATGGTCTCCGGGAGGCGTTTGCAGCGCAGATCCCTCCCGAGACTTGCATCCATATCCACATCGAGAAATAATTGTTAGTTACACCCAGCCTTGGCGTTAATATGGGATTGCCATGGAGCGCGCAAGGCTAAACCAAACCACCATTTTTTTTGGTATCTGGACGTCTGACGTATTAGAAACGCTTTTAGATGCTAGATGAAGAGTATTTACTGGAATAGGAAGCCATATTTAATGGCGGGAAGTCAGAAAAACAGGGGTGAAGCAGTGGGGGAATGGAGGGCGGATCGCGTATATTGTTAATAGGTGCAAGGCTCATTAGATTTTAAGCTGGAAAGGGAGATTCAAGTGCAGCTCAATGTTAGTCAGTTACTGGGCTGGGCTCTGTTCTGTACTACTATCTAATGCGGGGCGTTCAGAGGCTCTGGGTTACATAGTAAGGAGCGGAAGGAACACGGAGAAGTATTTAGTCCCTGTTATCCCCGCGTTTTTGTGGAGAAATATTTCATCATTCTGAAAAGCACTACACTTTTCTTTACGCTTTAGCTCTTGCTTTTCCTTCCATCCATCTGAGTGATCTTTTTTTGAACTCAGGATGGCTATCACTACCGTGCCAACGGGCTCAAGCACCGAGAAGCCTGTTTCCGTCCACGAGAATGAACATGAAACCCTTGAATATACACAGGCACTTCATAAGGTCAACTCACGCCTGGCACATCCTTTGGCTGGCTACTCTCATGAACGCTTGATTGAGATGGGAGCGACCTATGCTCGCAACCATGGGATGGAAGAATACCAGGAAGAATTCAGCAAAGGAGCCATGCTAGCCCAAGACCCAGGAGCATTTGAGACAATCCCACTCCTGACGGACGAGGACAGAAACATGTTGAGGCGTGAAGTCACACACAAATGGAGTCATCCGAAAGAGCTTTACCACATGGTTATCATGTGTTCTCTTGCTGCCGCTACGCAGGGAATGGGTATGTTGCCAGCCTCAACAATATTGTTAGCTTTATAGTAATACTAATATACCATTGATCATAGATGAGACTGTCATCAACGGCGCAAATCTCTTCTTCTTACCACAATTTGGAATTGAGAACCGTGAATGGATTGCTGGCCTTGTCAACTCGGCACCTTACCTGTGTTGCTTTACCATTGGTTGTTGGTTGACGCATCCGCTGAATAAAACATTCGGTCGTCGGCACACAATTTTCATCACCTGTCTCGTATCCTTCTTGACTTGTCTCTGGCAAGGGTTTACAAATTCATGGCAACACCTCTTCGTGGCTCGTTTCTTTTTGGGATTCGGTATTGGCCCGAAGAGTTCCACTGTTCCGGTTTACGCTGCTGAATGCTCCCCCCCCGGAATTCGTGGTGCTTTGGTCATGATGTGGCAAATGTAAGACATTCGTTCGGCATCTCTCCCTGCGGATATGCACTAACGGAATCAATTATTATAGGTGGACTGCTTTCGGTATCATGGTTGGTTACATCGCTGATGTTGCTTTTTACAAAGTTCCTGACCCACCTCATGTAAGTAATTCTTCAAGGAAATTGCAAGTGTATATCAAAACTGATGTTCTGGTCATCACAGATTACGGGCTTAAACTGGCGCCTTATGTTGGCATCAGCGTGTGTTCCCCCGTTGCTTGTTTGCGCACAAGTTTACTTCTGTGTAAGTCTAAACTCCTTGGCCTACTAATTTATAGCATATTTTCTAACACCCAATAATAGCCTGAGTCCCCGCGTTATGAAATGATGAAGGGCAACCACCAAAGAGCGTTCAACTCTCTCGCTCGTCTGCGTTGGACCAAGGTTCAAGCTGCTCGTGATCTATTCTACATGCACACTCTCCTCGAAATTGAGAAGGAATTAGAACATACCAAGAAGAATAAAATTGTGGAAATGTTCACCATCGGCCGCAACAGGAGAGCTATGATTGGTTCCGAAATCGTCATGTTCATGCAACAGGTAGTTCCAAACGATCATAAAACAATTACTCCGATGCTAACTTATTTCTCAACAGTTCTGTGGAGTCAATGTCATCGCCTACTATTCTTCAGTTATTTTTGTTGATTCTGGCTTCTCGCACGTCTCTGCCCTCCTTGCATCAATGGGTTTTGGAATAATCAACTTTTTGTTTGCTATTCCAGCGGTCTACACCATTGATACCTTTGGCCGTCGTAACCTCCTTCTTACAACATTCCCATTCATGGCTCTGTTCCTTCTATTTACGGGCTTTTCATTCTGGATTGAGGATCAAACTGCTAGAATTGGCTGTGTCGCCCTCGGAATCTATCTTTTTGGGATTGTTTACTCCCCTGGAGAAGGTCCGGTCCCGTTTACTTACTCCGCCGAAGCCTACCCGCTTTATATCAGAGATCTCGGCATGTCTTTCGCAACTGCAACAACTTGGGGATTCAACTGGGTACTTTCTATGACATGGTTACCACTCGTTCGAGCTTTCAAACCACAGGGCGCCTTTGGATACTACGCAGGCTGGAACATGATCGGTTTCCTTTTAGTTCTCTTTTTCCTACCTGAAACAAAGGGCCGAACATTGGAAGAGCTGGATCGCGTATTTGAAGTCCCTACACACGTTCACGCAAAATGGGGTCTTGCACAAATCCCTTACTTTATTAAGCGCTACATCTTCCACCAGGATGTCCCCGCACCGATATTGTTGGATTTGTCTGATACTCCTCACCACGCAGATAGCCACGGTGGTGACTACAAGGAGGCCACTGAGAAGGTTTAGATTAGATGAGTCGGATTTTTCTTTTCCCTAATGATATCACGATTTGGAATTTCCTTTCTTTTTGTAAATTTGTCTGTAATTCAATAGCAAGAAAAGATTACGATTACAAGTCTACAATATAATAAAAAAGCAAATGAATGAATCAACAAATGCCAATCGCGGCATCGCCGCGGTGGATCATGGATGTGCATTATTGAACGTTTTAATATGTAGTTCTGCTGTACTTTTTTTATTAGAGGTCGTTTGGCCTCTAAACTGTAACTATAAAGACAGAGCCTTCGCTCTCTCTCTCCTTGTTTCTAATCATCAGTTCATTTCTTTGGGTTCTTTTAGTTCTTCACCTTGCTTCATAAAGGCCATCTCTAAAAATAGCAGTAACAAGTCTACATGGGTGCGCGATCTAATAAAACCGTCCGCAGAGCCAAATCATTATCCCGAAGAACCACGCAAAGGATAAACTATAAAATCCCAAAGCTCAAAGAGCTTTGGCGAGAGAGCCCAGAGTTAATTTCTCGACGAGAGTGCGGCGTTGCCACACAAGTCCCTTTTACTGAATCAACGCTCATGAACAAATGCGAGTGATCTAGCATGATGCCAGTTGATGACCTAAGCTTGCAACCACTTATCCCATTGGAGCCCCAATAGAGCGTATTTACTAACTGTCAATTCTGGCAATTGACACTTTGCCACTCTCTAAAGCGGTATCCATAAGTGTAGGGTCGCTTGCCAGGCTATGAAATACATTAAAAGTATACCAAATACACTTGGAGGATACCATAGTAGTTATCATGCTGTTCTTGCAGCTTACGTATTTCATATCCCTATGGAGGGGAAGTATCAATTTTATCTCGCAACTGTCAATTCCAAAGTGTCAATTGTCAAAATTGACACTTAGTAAATACGCTCTAATATTATTACTAAACTCTATAGATAAGTAATAACATCAGTTCCAACCATATACTAAGAAATCTTCGTGATTGGTGAGCAATCGCACCCCCCTCGAAGCTTCCGGTTTTGAGGAGTGCCTCTATCTTACTAGTACAGCGAACATAATGCAATCATTTAAGTCATGCTACGGAATTCGAACACCTACTTGCGGCGAAGCGAGAATAAGTTTCCGCGGTTTCAATATAAAGTGGCGGAAACCTACAGGTATTCTCGCAGCAGGTATGTACATGTAATATCTACTCTAGAGCTACATGTATTTATCCATATGTATTTCCTTAGGTGTAAGCGTGACCAGTCGTTTCCTGTGACTGCTACGTAAATATTAAAACCAAAGCGATGCTAGATCGCCACTAAGAGTGGTTGAAATCTGCATGGCTGTTTTTGCTCAGGCACTCATGATATACGTGATTTCTAGGTCAATATGATGGTACTAATCTATGCCTAGAGGTTTTTTGATTTTAACACGACATCATCTGTTAAGGGATGACATAAGATTCCGAGCCTAGGAGAATATGGGTAAAAGGGTCCGGTGTGGCAACACAACGAACGAGGCCTCACCAGTTCACTACCACACCCTGTAGCCTTCAAGTGATGGGACAAATGGAATCCGAGATTCAAGATTTTGAGTTTATCGGTTGTAAATACAATTGTGTATTGACTCCCATATTTATATGGTTGTCAGTATGTAGTGTAGGGTACGTCATTAGTAAATGATATGTATCTGGATACATAAGGTTCCTCTATTCTACTACTAGATTAAACAATAGAGCTCTCTTTATCTTCGTTTTCATATCCCCGCACCTATCAGTCCCATGAATCATGTGTAGGTCAGTTCTATTGAATTAGGGGGATTCCGAAGCTGCGAGAATTTCCAGCGCTATACGTCCGGGTATGCAAATACATACATTATTTATATACTTTATAGTAAGTACTATACATACATGTAGTCAGTATATATATCGGACTATCAATCTAAAACTTTTCCTATATTCAACACCATTCAAGATAAGTCAATACATGCGGATTGATATTCGTATATTTGATGTTTGTAATCGATGGTCAGGTACTAAAGTAATAATCCTAGGATCGCGAGAACTTACACGTTACGGTTGTGTGTGGTAGGCAAAGGGGGGGGGCTAACAATAATCTCTCGAATTGGACTAGTGGGACGACAATTATCGAGTGATATTTCGTGATGTTATTTTCGGCTAGGCCTAGCTTTGGACAATACATGTACGCACGGCTGCTATTAGCGTGGCATGAGGCACATGTGTCAAGATGGCAGTAAAGACGCTAGTGAGGTACTATTCCGATCTTCCTCTCATTTTCTGTACGTTTCCCCGATAACCAACACCATCATAAGATATGCGTACATATAGCTCACTAATAACCTACAAATAATTTCGAGTGTCCGAGTCTTCTCAATCATCGAACGTACTAAACAGGTCTCTTAACCCCCAACTCTTAAGCACTCATTCTAATAACTAAGTGACCATATTTGGTTTTAATTCTAGTTCAGCGATCCTGTGTGTCCAACATTCACTAGGGGTTTTGGAACTAAAATGGCCCCAATTGCAAGCTGAAGGATTATTTTGGTAAAGTCTTGAACATATTACTTTAGTAATTGATTCGATAATACAAATCTCTATACAGTGGATGGACACGCAATAATTGCACAGGTATTCTCTTCCCAAAAGATGGACCACAGATGTTTTTGGCATAAAACTTCAATTCTAATAATACAAGCAGCACACACACAAAGTCTCCCACAGATTCCGATCAAAGAATTAAAGCAAAAGGGTTCAAACTCACCATCATTTCGAAAATACGCCAAAACCCTCCCCCCAACAACAAATTCTCAATAGTGCATGCAAAAGCTCCGTCCGCCCCCAACCCTCTTCGTCCAGACACTCTCCTTCAGCGACAACAATCCAAACACTCCCTCAAATAAACAACAATAAAACAGGCGCTCGATCTGCCAAACGAAGAGATTTTATTCAGCGCTCGAGCTTCGGTCACATGTAGCGCGCAAATGCAATCTTCCCCGGCCGGAGGAAGAGATTCGCGTCAAACAAAACACGGTCGAAACGATCAGAGGCGAAACAATGCTGCGATTCAGTTGTGATCAAGCTGGCTCAATTCCCGTATTTTTTTCGTGGGTGGTCCAAAAAGGCGCTAATGGGAGTTTCGCAGACGTGAGTAGATCAGTGGATGGTGAAACTCGCCGCTCAGATGGGATAGTCGATGGCTTACTTTATCAGTAACCCAAGCCTGGTAAAAGATCAATAGAGAGGTAGCTTACTTGATGAGATTAAAGCAGTAAACAAGTTAGATAGTTCAAGGTGTCGTCTCCGACGCGCCCCAGTCGAGTCATTAACGATGGTTATAGCATAACAATTTTAATTGTCCTTAACCAGAATCAGTAAAAAAATCATAAACACATTTCCCCCTTCTCCTCTCAAACCATGGAGACTTTGTGTGGTTAGACCGCGGGCTACGGAAAATCTGGAAAGGTGAGAATTCGACGTTTATATCTCCTACTCTCTTTGCCAAGAATTCACGACGTCATGACACTACACACATTCCCAGTATTGATCCCTGACAACTGACGTAGAGCGACAAGCAAGGGTAGGAGAGCCAAAAACCAAGTCTCGATGGCAAAAAATAACTTCAGAGCTAAAGTAGACCCTGTCTGCATGACGTTCTTGCTCGGGGAGTCTCATGAAGATGACTTCATCGCATCCAAAGGAGGTCGGCCAACGGCAGCATCGGAATTGAACCGGATTGTCGCTGTCAAATTAAAGGAAGGACCCGAAACCAACTTTAGATTTGGCATCCAAGAGATAGATCGATCTCGCTGACACGGGATTCAGCTTGGCATAGGGTCCGACGATGAATTCCCTGATTGGTATTATTGCGGTTTTCAGGGTCTAAACATTGATAGGCACTTTTTTCCGTTAGGTTCCGGCAGGTAATAGTACGAGGGCCATTCTTGCTCTCAAAACATCGGCCTAGAATGATGACATCGGCTAAAGTAAAGTGACAATCAATTCATTTAATACCGGGCGCTGTCCATCCTGGTGCCAATTCCATAGGCTCAGGTCGGGTCTTAAGTTACCTATCATACTAGAGGGCCGAGCTTAGTTGATACGGCACCGGCCGGAGTGCCTTTTAGTAGTAGTTCTGATAATGTGTGTTGCCAGGCACCACATACCACTGATAAGAGCGCCACAGCAAAAAAAAAATTACGGTTACCCCGCCAGGAACACACCCCACAGCTTAGAGGAGCACCACAAGGAACAGTTTGCTCACACAAGAGAACTTTGATCTATTTGGTCCATGAACCATCAAGTAATATTTATTTATTTTACTTTTGCATTCTCCAAAAAACCATTGGGCATGCAAGCTACCAAAAAAACTTCCCAAAACATAAAAGATATCGCACACAAATATTTATATCAGAAACCCAATAAAAACTCCCATTTTGTCCCTTTCCCTTAGTCGAAAACAATGGCCGCCTTGATCGCACTCTTGTTTTTCATCGCCTCCAAGCACTCGCCCCATTGCTCGAGTCTGTAGGTCTTGTTCACAATACCCTCAACCTTGACTTTTCCAGTGTCGAGGTATCCGATGGTGGCGGGGAACATGTAGGTCTCAGAGAAGGATCCAATGATGGTGATTTCGTCACCGAAGATCTTGCTCGGGGGCCATGAGACGCGGGCAGAGTCACTGTAGACACCGTAAACGACGAGCTTTCCACCACGGCGGACGTAGTGAATAGCATCCTCAAGAATCTTGGGGGAACCAGTGGCCTCAACGACAATGTCGAATCCGTACGGGTTGTCCTTCTTGATCTGCTCAAACTGGGCCTCTGGGTTTGATCGCGAAAGCTCAACGTAGACGTCGGCAGCGTCCAACTTCTTGGCCAAGTCCATCTTTAGACCCTCTGGGGCAGCAACGACGACGTGGGAAGCACCGTTGTGGCGGAGGAGCTGAGCAAGACAGAGACCAGTGGGACCAGCACCGAACATAAGGACTGAGGAACCGAACTTTGGTGCAATCTTCTCAAGACCGTGGGCAGCACACGAGGCCGGCTCAAGGAGGGTGGCATCAACGTCAGAGAGGTTGTGGATCTTGAAGACCTTTCCAGCAGGGTATGCGCAGTACTCAGCGAAACCACCGTCCACTTGCTTCAAGTTAGCATGAAGACAGAAGCATATTATTCAAATGCGTTACTTACTGGTCACACCGTGAGCCTCAAACTTCTCGCAAAGCAACAGCTGTCCACGGCGGCAGTAGAAGCACTCGTTGCAAAGCTCGGAGTTATCTGCGCAAACACGCTCGCCAACCTCGAATCCCTTGACATCCTTTCCAATAGCAGCAACGACACCGACAGTCTCGTGGCCTTGAAAATCAATGTTAGTTAAATGATCAATTGACTCGTTTAACAATTGCTGTTGATGTATAGCTTACCAGGAATGAGTGGGAACTGCGGGGGACGAGCACGTCAGCGACTGATCAAATAACCACAGAGGTGCCTGCAGGGGGCCGGCTATCCAGAAAGGTGTCCACCAGTTCTGGCAGCGTATATAATTGGGGTTCTCCCAGGTAACCGACGTAGGAAGGGTATAATAATTACCTTCGCAATGAATTCTCCTTCGTGAATGTGCAAGTCCTACAATCAATCAGTTTTTTGTTTCTTCCGAATCTAATCCTTATCACCACTACATACGGTTCCGCACACACCACAGGCCTTGACTTTGATCTATGTTTACATTAGTTGGAGCCCTTGATTTTAATACTAGTGAGCTAGGAGACTGACCAAGACATCGTTATCACGAACAACCGGGAGAGGAACCTCGACAACGGCATACGACAAAGGTTTGTCGTAGCTAATAAAGTATGGTATCAGCCACTATACTCCGCTCATATAAGACGATTATCTATCAACGATAAGAACTTACCGGAGAGCCTTCATGGTCTGTGGGAGTCCTGACATCTTGAGCTGAGTTTGGGCCTGGTTTTTCTAAAGAGAAAGAGAGATAGGTAGAGTCTTTTGATTGAGAATGGGGATGATGATATTGGAAGGAAAGCTCAATGACCGCGGGAAGGGTGGGACTTTATAGGTTATGAGAGAAATCAGTCAAGAACCTTTACACCCACCAACTCTCACATCCCTTACTAACAATTAAAGACCAAACAAGGTCACAGCTTCATCATCATAATTGGATCCGGTGTGGTTGCTCTGCTTCACCAGGGCACCCCGATTCACCACATTTCAGTCGCCCACCCCCCAGTCAGTCTCTCCAGTTTAATGCGTTCAATTCGGACGCTAATTGACGCTGTTGCGTTGTCCTAGCCTCGATAGCTTGCTGCTTGCCCGCATCTTTCCTCGCCCCTCTCACCCGCGGGGGACATGAAGCAAGCCAGCCGCTCGAGTTGACCCCACTAACCCCACCAAGCGATCGACCAACCCCTCTTTCGTACAACCCTTACCTCCTCGCCGCGCCGCACCCACCATCCCTGTTCACCCGGGATAACCAGCGGCTTCCGTGAATATCCCCGTTTTTACCTGACGCGATAGGTTCTGCGAACTTCCAGTACGTACCATACTGCGCTTCTCCCGAAACCCCTAGTCAATTCAGTTCTACAAGGAAACTCGTATATCAGATCCCGACTAAATAAACAACACATAAAAACCAAGAACCGGCCGGAGTTCGGAAAATCTATCTTACCTAGCTGGTTGTATTTACCATCTTCAATTCCCGCAGCTGTCGGCACATTTCCTGCCGGGAAAACTAGATGTAGGCAGGTGTTCTTGTATGGTCTCTACAAACCAACTTTCATGGATTTGAGTTCAGGAATATCCCTCAATCATGCGATAATCTGTATAAACTGAGTTGTTACCGCGCCCTTTGAGCAATGCTAAGCACAGCTATTTCAAACAAAGTAATACACGTAAAACGAAAAAGGGGAACGGGTATGTCCCTTAACGAAAAACTGAGATATTATATGATTTCTAGTTGGGCTACATAAATTGGCATGCTTGGTATCTAAGAAATGTGGGTTGATTTACTTAGATATTCACCCGCGCATGCACGAGATATTCCATGTTGCACCTACTAGTACTCTTGGCCGTTTTAATCAGCTATCAATGGCCCTTAGATAGGTAATGATGGTAGCGGCATTAACGGCAATTATCGAAACTTAAGATGAACTGTACACGTACTTAGAAGTCGTCTATTACTTTCAAAATAGTTGAAACGTTTACCTTCTATATCGTGAGAGCTTCATTGGAACCCCACAAGGCCCCTTATCAGAATCAGAGAGATGACCCGTCAGCCTTGCACATTTCGCGGGGTTAAAGTACTCTGCATACTCTCCACTAGGTATCCTGCATTGCATACATACACGCTGCTGCTGCTGCACTTCAAGAAGTGATGAGTGAAGTGAGGTGGGGTAAATTATTTAGATGATGCACACAACGACTGCGTGTAGGGCTTAGCTTCTTTTCTTTTTCAAGACTAGACTAGCAAATACAGCATAACTAGGGAAGGGTAGTTTCAGTAACAGCGAATAGAAACATCCTACGTAGAATCAGAAACCGGAATTCCCTCCGGGTGGAAAGGACTGTAACCCGGTGCGCTGCTCCTCTCCGGTCAATGGGTGGACAGAATGTCTGAACTGTAGAACTCTACTGGCCGGTGTTACTAATTCGTTTCGTCTTGGGTTAATGATTGGTGATACTACCAACTCACGTGATTGGCTATAACTGATCTTAACGATGTCATCTTAAAGAGAGCACCAGTATCACCACTATATAGCTACTAAATAAGACAACTTCAATAATTTACTATATATTTCTTTATATACACTTATGATATAGCATTTATATGAATATCAGAAGCTCTTATAACACGTTTCATAATAGGAAGTCGAAGCAGATTTTAAAGTCTTTCTTTATATACAAAACTATCAAGGCCATACCTACATGCACATATACATTAGTAGGGAAGAACCCCGTACCACGACGTCCAGTCTGGGACCTGAGACCTGGGACCTGCATCCAAGCCCTAGAACCACGGGCCGGGAATGCCCCCTCTCCATGGGTCGGATATCAACAAATCACTCGCAGCTGGAGTGCCAGCGAACCTCCAACCTCTCACAAAGCGGCCGAAAGGGGAACGCAAGCCATTATAAGTTAAAGAAAGCCCTCTCCTTCCTGATCCCGACCCTAAATGCCAAGCGGTATATCTCCCTCTGCCAGGAAACAATAAAATACACCAACCACAATATGATAATTGCTCCCACCACCTGCCATTGCCAATATTCAGAACTATGCAATATACATGATGTAGAAAAGAGTAATGAAAGTGATAAAAGGAAACCCTCAAATCGAGTAAAACCCCTGCTGCCACTTCTATTATTAAGGGCAAGTCTTGTCATCATTATTGAAATTCGGACAATAATTACCTCTAACTATTCCTACGCCAGAGTTTGACAGTTCACCACCCCTACCAAGTGCCCCTGTATCCCCACCTCGCATGCATGTCAATTGTGCTAGCCGGCTAGTTCATCGATCATTATCGTCTGTATGCCAAAGGTGCATAAACTGATTGCGCACATGTATCCCACCCCGCTTTCCATAATTTGGTTAGTGGTATGACGATGATGATCCCCAATCATCTTCATATCCACATCCGAAATCCGAACCCGGTTGTTGTTGCGCTAGCTGTTTGACCCTTTGGCCCAGTTCATAAAAAGTTCAAGCCCGCACACACGCACACACGCACGCACATCTCACCACCCATCTCATCTGCCATCAAAGGCCACCTCAGACTCCACACATCGAAAGAGAACAATAGAAAAAAGAAAAAAGAAGATAAAACCAATAATGTCCGCCATATCGAAATCCCAAGCACATAATCATTTCAGTCCAAAGCCTTCGCTTTCTGTGACGGCACGCCAAAGCATGCTCTCAAGCTTCTCCCTCCGTTTATATCTCCAGAGGCAAATCTGGTTAAAGCAAGTCCTAGCCACAGGGAATCTATTGCAATCTTGTCCTAGACAGCCCACTTTGATAATCAAGCTCGTTGCTCCCATTGCTGGTATTCTGTCACTGCCAGTGATAAAATGCAGTAGCATCCTCTGTTCCTTTGGTGAGATTCTCTCAAAGAAGCTCCAGAACCACCTGACTACAGGATCATTATCTGCTGGCGTCGCGTTTCCCCAGCCATCATATACGGCAACGGCCTTCATCGCAGAGACATCGAGCGCCTCATCAGAGCCTCGTATAAGGAGCTCAATCTCCTCTGGTCGGAAAAGAGATAATGCATTGCCCCCGCAAACCGTGTAAAATCCACGCTTGAAAGGTTCGAATTGCCTGGCTACAGAGGTATCCAGGATCCATCTCAGATAGAGATCGACAAACTCTTTCCGATTTGCATTGGTAACTGGTTTATTCTCCCCGCCGGGGCAAAGAGGTGCAACGATCACTTCACCGTATCGTTCAGACTCTGCAACAAAATCGCGGCAGAAGGTTGCCTCGACATCACCCTCGAACTCCAGCAGCTTAACCAACCCGCTTGCCAAAGCCGGTCGGAAAACTGCCAGGTCTTCCAAAGTTTGAACTAAAGGGGGTCGAACAGAGGAGGTTGCCAGTTGGTGCTTGTTTGTCAGGTGCAGAAGCTTCTTGAAGACATATGGCGGCAAAGCCACGTCCAGTATTGTGGAATTATAGATTGCAAGTCCCAAGAGCATACCAACCAGGTAATACTCCTCAGAGGATTCCAAAGAGTATGGGTTGAAATAACAGTACTTAGAGTCCTCGTCGTAGATAAACATACCTAGCCACTTTGAGTGTCTCGCGCCGGGAGAATATTAGAGAATGGCATTGACTTACCGTAGTTAGGATCGAAAACGTCCCGGGCAACCATCAAGAACCACTCTTTCTTTAATCCACCCGCATCTACACCGTCCTCCCCAATAAATTCAATTCTTAACCCTTTCTTGATGTCATCTATGCCCCCTGCACCCTCACTTATTCCTCTCAAACTGTCTTCAACCAAACACTCTCTCCGGACCTTCAATACGAGATATTGATTTACTGCTCTTCTGGTAGATATACTATTGAAAAACGCCTGCCGAGCTTGAACTTCCATTTGTCGCTTGGCGTCGTGCTCAAGGATCTGTATCTTGGATCCCATAGACAACAAAAACGAATACTGACAAAAGCAAAACTTTGAAGAACGTGACTCCCAGACATCGAAATCAGCTATCAAGTCATGGTAATCGAGAAGCATGTTGTAAAACTCGCTAGTGAGAATAATTTGGCCTCTCCGTCTCGCTTCACGCCTTGCCATGACTGCAGAATTCATGTTTTCTTCATCATCTTTGATGTTCTGGACCATGCCACGACGACCAGCAGTGTTATTATTTGCCGAGAAAAACAATGCCATAACTTTTGCTGCTGCCTTTATTTGCCAATCATCGTTATATGGCAACTGCTTGACCCCCCGCCCCATCATTCCGGTTGCCTGTTGTGTTTTTTTTCTCGCGGGCTGTCTCGTGAGTCGGTAAGTGATGAAGCTTCCTACTAACTCCACTAATCGCCGAAACTGAACCTCCGGCATTCGGGTGAACCACGAGACAAGGTAGTGATGGATTGAATTATCAAGGTTTCCGACCAATCCCATGATACGTTTGATAATTCCGGAATGATGACCGGGACCACCTGAATTGCCACTCCGGTTGGACGAAGTGGAAGCTTGCCTTTTTAGCTTGGCCGGCGAAAGAGCAGGTTCCTCCTTAATATTTAGGGGGGACCTGAGATCTGAGGAAGAAGACATACCATGGACCTTGGAGACCGGACGAGAAGACTCCGGATATAAAAGAGGGTTTGCTAAGATTATAAGTAGAAACCTAACATCTTCAGGCTTCTTCAATGGCCTTCCGGGACGTTTCAAAACACTTTCTGTAGCTTTCAACAGGGATCTGCCAATGTGAGCCCTAGCATCTTCCATATCTTTCCTAAGTTCGCTATCCCAGCTCCTAGAGTCGGTGTTTTCATCTCTGTAATCCGCACCAACATTTATTACCATGTCGTAAAGCTCATCCACACTTTCCCAGTCAATTCCAGGACTTCTCACACTGGTAGGCTTTGTTTCGGGTACGGTTTTTGTCTTTTCTTTTTCTTTTTTACTGGAATTTAACTCCTTACCTAGGAATCTACCTCGTTGCAATAAAATTGTTTCTTTCTCCCCAATTTTATTCGTAACAGGTATATCAATCTCCTTTGACGACTTCGCTGGGGACTTAGACCTTCTAGGTGAGGTAGATCTGATATCTTGAGACTTTGGCTCCAGGCCTTCGCTGCGCCTTTTCAAAAAGCTCGCATTTAGACAGTCACAACTTCCAAAGGTGGTTGTCAAATAATTCTCTAATGGTCTAAACGATTTCCTCACAAGTTCCTCGTGAGGAGTGCTTTCTGGATTTTGCCGACTCCCAGTTTCCGGTCTATCGGCGCCATTTGACCCTGGAGACAGTGAACCCTTCCCTGCGGGTACATACATTGAGCGACGGTCCCTAGGTGGAGGTGTAGCTGTAGAAGAAAAACTCTCTGAAAGACTTAGTATAGGTAGCGAAGGCCTCCGCGACGGCGCCGCATCCGCAAGGTCTCTATGTGCTGGAAATGCCATCATTGCAGCCGCTGTGTTAGGTGAGAATTTAGAAAAGACCGGAGGTGTCTGCACTGGGCCTCCCAGTCCGCCAGATTCATCCGACGGCCTCCCCGGGATCGGAATTGGCGGAGGAGGTGGTGGATGTTCCGGCATATTATCTAGCCATTCTCGTTGCTCCAGAAATCCTCTTATACAGGAATTTATGATTGATCTCGTTCTCTCGGCAGAGATTGGCGGTATACCTGCAGCAGTATTATCAGCCTCAAAGGTTCAACACTCCCTTTGCCTTGATGTATCACACCCTTGGTACACTGCTCAGCCGGAGCGAGGTCGTTGATAGTTGTACATGTCGTGCATCGAAAAACCGACAAATGAGTTGGCCACCGAACGTAGGAATCGCAACATGAGCACCGACCCGTTGTCTAAAATGCACCGAGCATCCTTGTAAGCACGAAATGCACATTCCACGCAGAATTTCGACTGTGAACGTAGTGTAACTAGTAGAGCCGCAAAAAAAAACACACACCAAAGGTAAACACGTACAAAATTTGTCTGCAAGTTTCCTCCATTCCCCGCCATTCCAGAAACCATGTCTGTAGGAACTGTTGAGTGTCTCCTATTATTCCCGCTATGCGCAGTGTGCCCGCCATCTCTTTCTAAAGATCCCAACATATCTCCTTCGTTTGCTCTGCTGATATAGTGTCTCCCAGGCTCTAGATGTGCGCCAGGCGGGTTAGAGTTTCCGGAAGGTATGTAATGTGACTGTGACCTCCCGTGAGATCTGGAGGTGGATGGTCGGGACGGAGGTTGTTCGGGAACCGAAAGCTGGTCCTGATTATGGGGAGGAGGGAGTAGACGAGATGGCCAGGACGGCATTTTATCAGAACTGAGGAAAGACACTCCTTTTGAACGATCGTTATCGTCGACAGAACCTGGGGGAGGGGTTACGGGAAAGAGGCCAAATCTAGAGGCGAGGGCCCTAGCAGTGAAAAATGGAAGGCAGGAAAAAAGTGACACCAAAGGAAATCTGCTCGTGACCGCAAACCTCCAGATGATGCACGGAAGTGAGAAAGGATATCTTGGAGGGTGTGTGAGACTGGTTGAGCGAATGGGTACAGCACAGTACTACAAAAACGCTGGGAGGTTATCAGAGCTAGTTGTCGTACGTTACCTTCCTTACACGCAGTATTAATAAATACCAGCAGAGTAGACACAGTTGAAAATTTCTAGTCCGTGAACGTCATCCCACGCCGTTGTATCTACTTCACCTGCCTTATTGCACTTTATAAATTATCACTCTATGTAAGTAGAGACAGAGGTATACATGTATTCGGACTCTTATGCGGACCTCGCGCAAAGATACTCTACATGCCAGGTACCTGTGTACCTCGCTAACTATTCTCAGCGGAGCCCAGCCTAGTCCGGTTATCTTCATCCAATAAATACGTCTAAATCAAGTCGAATAAACTGTATTGGGTGGTGTTTGTGGTGAGCTCCAAGAGCTCCAAGCTCCCTGTGCCCTGCTCCGCATATTTCCGGCCCCCACTGCATCCCCGCTTAACCCCCTGAAAAAGGCGCGTAAATAGAAACGCACAAATCATGATCGACAGGGTTTTCTCCAGATTCTAGTGGTATGTCCATACAAAGTAGGTACTTTGCAACCTCGTACCGAGTCTACAAAAGAACTCAAGTTCATCTTTATGATATTAATCCAACTATGACGGCGGTAATAATCATATATGATAAAAAACATTTGCTTCCCCTGGCTCATTCCAGTAGTTAGCCCACCCGAAGACACAAGTTGATCGACCCAGTAAACTCAAAGAAATTGTTTATAATTGCACTGAAAAATTAAACTTAGTTACAGCCGTACAAATTCTAGAAAGATACTAACCACGAGTCAGACAGCAGCCAATCAGAATCCCATGATGCCTTTCCCTTTTCCATACCACTACATGTAGTATGTACCGTAGGTGCATGTATGCACTATTACATACCCTTCACTTCAGGGAAAGAACTTCAGCCCTGCAAGAATTCAAGGGCCCAAAACATGCCCAGAGTGTACATACGCAAACATTTAAAGGGGAACTCTTGGAACGGTAGCCATACCCACCAAATAGCCATGGGCATTGCCTGGCCAGCGATTCGAAACAGCATAGAGGTACTTGAATATTTACTTCTTCGTTTCTCATCTCCTCGGGAAATTACATGTATTTACCGCAGATCGAAAAACAAAAGCATCAACATCCCCAAACTCACCGAAAATTGTGGCGATCGATGTTTGGCCATAGTACTAAAACTGTTTCTGTGGTGCAAAAGTCGAGAAAAAATGATTTTACTACAAGACCCATAATCACAGTGGAAACCATACCCAAATCGGACATTATCGTCATTAACGCTTCTGAGAAATTAGTAGGCCTAGGTGAGCCGGATTGAGAAGATGTGGTTGCATCAATAATGGTGGAGGAAACACGCCAAGGACATCGTCACAAGCAATCACTCGCCAATCGCTCAGCATCGACTTTTGGTGTTTGGTGCCCACGTGCCCACGCGTCCACTGGTAAAAGAAGTAAGAAGCGGCCAAATCAAATTCAAAAGACTGGCCGCGGAAGCGCATAAAGAAGGCTTCACATTAAACTCCACTAGAGCGTAACTACATGTACTAACTCTCCCAACTTCCTGCCATGAATCCGAAAAGATCCGAGAAACCACAGCACAGGACACCACCTCTGTCATGACTAAAAGCTATAATAAGTGCGTAACAAAAGAATAAACATTCTAAAGACCATCATACAAAGAAATCGTCCAAGACATACCAATACGAGCGTGAGTGCATTCCTGTTATGGGTATCAATGCATTGCTACCACTCGTACCAGAGAAAAACATAAAAAAAGAACATGAAGAAGCCGTTTACAGAATTAATTAACGTACACTACTTACTTCTACAGCTCTTACTCTGATGAGGGATTATTACCTTGTATGCCGTGCTAGACATGCAGGTGAAATCCTAACCAAAGTTCTCCCCGAGAAGTAAATGAGGCCAAACAATCGTAGGCAAAAGAAAAGAGCTACGCGTGGAGCAAAAAGAGTGGATATAGAAAAGAAAGAAGAAAACGGAAAGGTAAAAAGGCAGATGTCCCAAGCCAACTCCACTGTAATGATGACGGTACAAAAGTGCACGCTCACAATACACAAGACAAAACATGATACGAAAAACTAGCAGGCCTCTCTGCACAACTTCCCTCCCCTCAATAGGCTATACACAGAAATGAATCCATAAAGTAATCCCACCAAAATAAAGCGAAAAAAAAGATGAAAGAATTGAATTATACCTTTTTGGTTGTCTATCGGTTCCCCAAAATGACAAAGGAAATTACTGCGAAAAAGCGCGAAATAGTGAGATGGCTAGAATCAAGCACTGCAACCATCAACTAGCGTATTTTGAGGCCAGCCATAACCAGTTGCGGCCCAGTTTGTCAAGTTGGGGTTCATATAGGCGTCGAGGTGGTCTTCGATGTACTTAGTGGTTGGATATCCTGGGGGATCGCATGTAACGGAGCAGTCCTCGCAGTCTTCATCTTGCCAAACACGAATCCTATTGCTGAAGTTAGTATTTCTTATAAAAACAGCTTTATGCTTTGAAGAACTTCTAAAACTAACCAATCAATCCTCATCTTTGCTGGCAAAAGTTTCGCAAGCTCTGCCCAGTTGATATATGCGAATGTGCTACTCATACCGACGTTTACAATGATGGTCATAGGTTCCTGTGGGATAGGTCTTTGCCCAATATTTCCGTTGGGGCCCGTGGCCCCGGCCAACATTTCCCATGTCTTAACCTCGCCAATATTCCATACAATTCTTCCATCATTACCAGGTTCATACTCGAATCCGTAAGTCTGGTATTGTTTTCCGTCGTACCAGTCGTTGTTCAAAGTTGAGTATCCAGAAATAGCCTCCTGATAGTACCCTCCTCGATATGAGTTCATAACCGTGATATCCGGATTGTAAACGGCAATCTGTTCATAATCAGGCTGATACCAAATATCGAAAGGTGCGACCTGTGCAGATTGCGATACAGCTCCGACGATATTTCCATCAGTATCGATTACTGAAACTGTAGCCTCGAGAATATCCAGTTCGGGTGATGATCGAGCCTTTCCGGCATTGGGGTGATCCTCCCCGCTGCATGTGCAACCGGGAAGCTTCATTCCGGGAAGCCAACTGAGACCGTCGGGGCTTGACTGATTTGCAGTGATTCCGGCATCACATTCATCGTGGTATGAATAAGGCCACATGCCTTCGGTGGTTGAAAGATACCCCGGGCGACCTAAATTACCCATAGTCCAAAAACCCGGCCACAACCCTGAAACGTTCCCAGCACCGGGCAATGAGATACTCGCTAGTTAGATGTTAGAAAAGTTAAACCCCATTATTAGACATGGGCCCTATCTCACCCTCGATAATCCCGCCCTTGAAGCACAGCTTGTTCCAACTTTGAAGCATTCCTGATCTGAAGTCCAAATCATGGTTCCTGAATGCAGCAAACTCTATTTCAAGAACACCATCTTTTGTCGTCAATGCATCAGGATCGTACCATTCCGAATCTTGGGTTGCTGCGCTGTAAGAAAAAAAGCCGTTAGCCGAGATAAGGTACCAAAATAAAACTCGTATTCGATTGCTTACTAGTGGATGTCAACCCCTTCCCTGTGTAACAGTTAGCATCAAAAAAGTAAGCACAGTGGATTAAAAATGCACTCACCAGTATGGGTCATCATTTGGATAAAACGTCCTTCCATCCTGATTAAATTCGTCTGAAAACTGTATTTCGCGATTTATCTCAGCAACCATGAACTTGAACTATTAGTTATTAGTTATCGGGATTCTACTGACCACTAGTCTGAAGGTTTTTCCATCCGCCGAAGTCTTTGTTAATGCGCTTTCTGGCGTATCAGGATCGATCAACGAATGCCTAACGTTCTGTAGAAGCGCAATAGGACCAACGTCAAGGCAAAGAGGCCCTTCGCAAAGGCTCTTTGGAACCTCAACAGCATCGCGGACAAAAGTTCTACAAACGAAGTTCACCACTTAGCAACCGCCAACTGATTGTAAGAGGGAATATCAATTGGCACATACAGGACAGGATATCCAATAAATAATACGAGGACACCCAACACGATGAATCCCAATCCTCCAACATTCACCAAGCCACGCCTTGTGAAAATATCGCATTCTCTCAAATCGTCTATCTCTGTAGGATCATGCAAAGCATCGTCGTCCTCCTTATCTATCGGAAACAGCAGCAGACCAGCTGATGGTGTTATATTATACTTTTCACTGATGGTCTGCGAGTTAAGCGCATCACCAATGTCAGGAGAGGCAGTTCCTGAATTATCGTCAAATGGCGACACGAATGGGCCATATCGAGAATCTCTGTTATCTGTACTCCAACTGGATCTCCGTGACGATGTTGGACTGTCCTGGTATGAGGTAAACTGTCCAGGCCTTCGTTGCGGCGGAATCAGTAATTCTGAGGATTCTATCGGAGTGTCACCCTGGTAGAATGGACTCTGACTTCGCGACACCGTAGGCGAGGGAGCCTGGGGGGTCAGATTTCGACTGACAACACTGGCACGTCGCGCAGGAGCGCCATTCAGCAGGTCCTGTGAGCCGGAATTCAGCGTTAACGTAGGTGGTGGGGACGGACGCGCCGACATTATTGTCGGATTATTGCTGGCAACTCGTTCTTGACCTTAAGGTTGTGTGCTTTGCTTGCCTCCCAGTAGAAAAGAGCTTATTCGGTATAAGAATTAGGTTAGGGGGAAAATTAGTGCAGTAACCAGAAGCCAAGTTGAGTGTGTTGTTGTTGTTGACAGGTGCTATGCGTCTAGTGTATCCCTTCTATGTCGTCCTCCTTATTCCTGTCTGTTAAGGAACCACAGGATGATTCTATCACCGAGCGAGTTGCGAAGAGTAACGAAAGAATAAAGGGGAACACGTTCTTGAGAAGGAGAGGACGTATTTCGTCAGAGCGGAAGAAACTCGATGCAACTGTTTTGATCGGGACGGGAAGTAGCAGGGAGGATTTCAGAAATCTCTAACGTTGACCACTTATCCTGGTCAAAGCAGGACGAATATGTCGAGAAACGAGTGGATCTCAATTGTCCCCGAGAAGGAAAGAATGAAGGATAGCGGGATGCCGATCTCAGAGCGGATCCAAATTTGAACAGCAACGGAAAAATGTGGCTACTGTCTCTCTTTTTGAGCGGCTTGGGGGGAGGGGGGTGAATTGGAGGAATAATACTGAAGCGCACGGCACACACAGACAAAAGGTGGGAGGATGAGGAGGAAAGATTGGGTGTATGTACCTATGGGGATGGGCGTTTAACAACGTGAAAGACAGGCAGGGGCAGTAAAAATGAATGACGGAAGGCTAGATTCGGAGATTCAAGCGTTTGACTTCAAAGAGACGAAGAATAGTAATTCAAACATCTAGTACCGCGTAGGGAAGTGTGTTTAGGAGGAAGAAGAACGTCCCTGAAGTAAAGAATCGCAAAAGTTGAGTTGAAAGTTGCCCTTCACGCAAGGGGCAACCAGGGGCAACATAGAAAACCATCAAGCCTGCCGTGATATGATTAGCGGGATCACAACGCCATCAAGCTGGCGGCGGCATCAAGGCAGGCAGGTGAAAAATCCCGGCGAGCCTATCAGGCAGCGGAACAAAGCCCGCTTGTAGATGCGCCCAATCACAACAGGGGTTCTCCTAAACATATCCACAAGCTGCGAGATCTCACAAGCTTCGGGAATTCTCCCTCGAATGCTCCCCCCAAATTCTTAAAGATTTAAAGCACTGAGCCAGGAGCCAGGAACCAGGAGTAAGCTTCTCTTTGAAATTTTTAGAGTAAAGCAGCTAAAAATGCCTAAAGTAGCTTCAGACTTAACTAATTAATGCTGCACAGAGACAAACATAGATATTATCTAAAGGGTCCGTGAAAATGCCTCTTTCCTTCGCAACATCCATCCATCCATTCATCCATTCATCCATGAGCATCCTGGGGTCTGGAAAGCCTGGAGGAAAACTATCATTTCTCTGGACCTGGGTGTAGATTGCTGCTAGATTGAGTAGGTTGAAGTCTCAGGTTAAATGTTATGATGTCTATTACTTTACCTTGCTAGCCCTGATCGGGTGGTAAAAGAGACCTTTCCCGCCATGCTCCGCGTAAGCATCTTTACAAAAGTAGTAACAGATTCGCGACCCTATCTGCGTTTACCGAAGATGAAGAGAAGAGAGCCTCAAGATAAAGCAAGAAAAGCGAAGAACAAAAAGCAAGTCTCATTTCCCCTATGATAAGTAGAGCTATTATTATTGATAGGTGCGGCGGTACCTGCCGCGCCGCCCTACAGCACAGCACACGCAGAGCCTTCACTCACAATTGCGTTGCTTGGCCCTGACTGGACTGGCTGGGTTTTCTATCAACGGACAACAGCTGAAATCTTAAGGACAACTAAGTTCTAGGCTAAACCTTCGCTGTCTAAGTAGGTATTACCTATCTACGATGTACTTACCTGTCCTACAAGCTGAGGCATGGGAAAGTTAGAAATCGCGATCTGTTGTCTCGTATGTGAGTTGAAACGTCAAACAACTGCACTTCCCGCGCTCGAAACCTGCTAAAGTTGCACGCTGGTATTGTTGTAGTATAGTCTACAGAACCCTAGGTCTTTCCCCGGTCTGGCATCTCAACCCCTCGATCCTATCCTTGCCACTTTCGAACCTTCTCAAGATTCGATGGAAAGTACCTTAACACCCACAACTTTTCCTTCACCGCTGTCCACACCGACAACAAAATATTCGACTCTGCTTCCAGCACCTTCAACACGATAGACCTTAACCGCAGCACCGCTAGAGGCCTTGGTGACAGCTTCAATGACATCCTGGTACTCTCCGTGGACGTCCCACTTATTCGGTTCCAGCAGTTTAATCTCTCGGCCGTTCTGGACTCCGATCAAATCCCCGAACTCGTCTAGTTTGCAGCGGAGGAGACAGGTGTCAGTGAAGATCAAGACACACGAAGATCAAAGACATACGCAATCAAAGAGAATTGGTGGGCCGGAGAAGTCTCCAGAAATAAACCCATCGGAGAATCAGAAGAAAAAATGAAATAAGAGACAAACCAAAAGCGGTTTAAAGATAAAAATAAAATAAAAAAAAATTATAAAAAAACAGATAAGGGTGAGAAAAAAAAAAGTGGTTCACAGACCTTCAGTAGGAAGCGTTCCCTTGTCCCAAGCAAACGAAACTCCCTCGAAAGGCTCGTCCGCGTCAGAGACGAAGAATCTTTCCCCAAGCGCTCGAACCGCCGGGTGTACCTCCGACTGTGCTGTCGACGCCGTAGTGGTGGCTGCCTGCTTAGACGGATCCTCCTCATATGATTGCGAGTAATCCTTCTGCGACTTCTTCAAGAACGCAGCGTAATCCGCGTCAGACGACATTATTATTCTGGAAGATGAAAATGCCCTTATGTTTCTGTATCCCACAGATTTTATCCTCCATGGAGTTAGTTTAAGAGGCTTTGGCAGAAAAGGAACAGCGAGCGGTCTGCTGATCGCCCCCAAGATTCCACGTGGATTCTTGAGAACGCTCGGCGGGGTAAACGTTATTTTACAGAACAGCATGTCGTCATGTCCCAACGACCACAATGAACGACAAGGGATGTGAAAGTGTAAAAAAAGGAAAACCGAGATCAGGAGATTTCAGGGTAGTCGAAAAAGTAGGAGCGAGGCAGACCTATATTACAGCAACAGATATAGGCAACCAGCAGGCGGTAGTTAGTCAGACACAGTAGATGACTAGGCCAATCGCAAGATAATTTTCTAACTCTCCGCGGCGCAAGTAAGATAAGTGAGTAGACTCGTAGAGTACGCGTTCGCGCCCTTAGGATCGAAACTTGAGAGGTAGGTAGTGAAGCTATCAAACTAAGGGTTCAGGCCTGCGCAAGAGAAAGAGGTGCGTTTGAGAATTATTGAAGTAAAGAAGTACCGATAGGTAGAGGTGCAATGATGCAGCAAGCAGGGTAGGGAAGACTTCAGGGCACGCAAGCATCCCCCGCTTGTTGCGGTTCGGTTCTCAAGATTCGCTTTTCATTCGGTCCCAATCCGTAGCCCTGTGAAGTGACGCAATTGAACATCAAGATCCAGTTCCCTGAAAAACCAACCACAACCAATCTGAAGGTATTTAGAGCTCAAGTCCCAATCACAGCAATTTCAAATAATGCGCCAGAAAAAATTCACCCCTCGAAACATGTCACCTGATATAAGGATTCGTTTAAGCACTACTAACTATAATTCCATGTATAATTCCCAAAATGGTTATTAGTACATGTAAGGTACTGGACCGTATCATGCCATTGCACTTCAAAGGTTAGACGACGCCGTGTCGTTCAGGTACTGGAAGTTGCCGCAAAGGTTGGTGTAGTTGGGTATCTGTACTCAGACACGCAAAAAACATAGCTTAGCTGGTACGATTTCTCATTCGCCTCATCTAACCACACCGGCGGATTAATGTTAGTGAATCTAGTACCCCTGTTTTACGGACCACGATTGATCCTCTTTTGCCTCAGTATATACTGTAGTAAAAGAGACATGTAATATGTAGGAGGGAATTGTTAGAGAGATATGTAGGGACTGTAAATAATTCCACGATGACCTATGTTTACATCTCTCATGCCCTGATTGGTTGCTTGGTAAGGGGGGGGGCCCTTTCTGCTAGGGTTCGAAGGAGTCCGGGCTGCTACACGATCAGATCACACACCACCCCCCCCCCCCACTCTACTAGGAGATCATTGTTGCGGGGGGATCTCCTGTATAGCGGTCTCTTCTCTCACAGCACCTTCACCACACGATCCGTCAGTGCTCTAAGGGAGTAGAGTGTGAGGATTGTTTGCGATGCGCAATTGTCTACATATGTAGACAGACTTCCCCCTTCTCTTTGTTCAGCTCAGACTCACAACCACCACCATCCTCCTCCTCGGAACATTCACATCACATCATCTCGCTCTTCTATTGCAGTTCGCAAAAAAACAAAACTCACCATTTCTTCCCTTTTATTCATAGAAGAATAAAACAAAACCCTCAAATGTCGAGCACCGTCTCTGACGCCGACACCAGGGCCGCCGACTACGAGACGGTCGAGCGCCGCTACAACATTGCTGTTAATCTCGAGTCCTGGGAGCTCCTGGCGATGCACTCGATTGCTAGCGACGAGGTTTGTCAATTCGTCCGCTCGTCTTTACTATCCTTACAGTTCTTGTGAATCAAGACGTGGGATGATGGAAAAAAAAAAAAAAAAAAGAAAGAGTTGGAATCAGCATTGCATATGCTGGGGGTGGTCAAACATAAAGTGGCTTTTGAGGATATAAAAAAAGAAACAGAAAACTGATCAAAACGAAATGGAAAAATTCATTGTTTTTTTAATCAATAGAGTATCCCTCGTGTCCGTCTTCGCATGTTGAAGTCCCTCGCTGGTTTAGTCGGAACCGATACTCCTCCGGCGTCGCCGTCGTCCTCTACTTCTCGCCGTGCGCCACAGTGATTGTACGACGATAAAAGAGAGACAGAAAAAACGAAAGAAAGGTGGCAAGGGAAGTTTCACGGATAACGGCAGCTTCTTGTTCTGGGGAGCTTTGATGCGAGGGGAAGGGATATGTTCTGAATGGTGCGACTTGGGATTTGCTTTTTTCTGTTTGGGCCAAGGTTCGGAATTGGGATTGGTGGAACTTGAGTAGAAACCATTATCATTATCAATAAGAGTTAACCTGAGCTGGGCTTTGGAGCTGTGATTTTACCTAGAGGATCAATTCGCAATCTCCTGATTTTCTACGAGGAATGCGTATAGAGAAAAAGTTCAATGTGGTTAAAGAATAATGTGATATAACTGTGCTACCGGCGTGTGTATATAGCTTTGTGCTTGGGTTTATGCGTAATTGCGGGTCTCTGTGCGCGTGGACGAATTGTTCTTCTTTATAAAAGGCCTCCCGAGTCTCTAAACGGATAACCGCCTTGAATTGCCATTCCTATCGTACCCTTCTGATCGATCCTAATAAAAACCCAACCCATTTCTCCCCGATCCCACGATACGTCTCCAATCCCGAATAATAGAAGCGTCGTAAATACGTTACAAAGGACGTGCAAAAAACAAATGAAAAGACCACCTTAGTAACCTATACAAGACCGCCGGTTCACTAGAAATGCAGCAAATAAAAATCATAACAAATCAGAAACTACAAGCCCAATGTGGCAGTTATTGCAGGGGCTCCGAAGAACTACTCAAGCGGTTTAGATGCAAATAAACATCGGTGCCATATCTGAAAATTGAGATATATTAGTATCAATTCCTTCTTACAGGCTGAGGAAATGGCTCACCCTTCCATGCTTATCAACTTTAAGTCTCCTCCAAAGTATCGAGCGTACAGCCGTGATATCGGCAGTCCGTAACCAAACCCGGCCATAGGAGCCTTGAAGTCGCTCTTATTGAAGTCGGGGTCGATTGGCGGTGTTGACTCAACGGTGGTGTACATGTATGTCCATACCAAGGGTATAGCACTCCGTGGTATCCCGCCACCTTCGTCAGAAATCTTTATAGTGATATCCTACACCGACGTTAACGACAGGATGAAACATAAATGCGAATGAAACGACATCTGAACTAGCTCCGGCAATTGAATAGGGCGGAAGGCAATTGGAAATCGTGGGGTATTTACCTCTTTACCCTCTGCTACGATCAACTTTACCGGTGGGAACTCCTCGGAATCACTTCCATGTGTCTCCACCACAGCTCGTAGGGAGTTCTTTAAAGTCTCGAAGAGCATATGACTTAAGTGGCCTGGCACATACATAAAGTTCAGATCAGGCTTGCACACTAGTTGCACTTTTGGCGCGTCGAATAGGCCGTAGTAATCTTCGCACACAAATCTCGCATTCTCAATGGCTTCTTGAGCCAAGTCCCGGACGTTGGTCTTTGTGCAGATTATTCCCACGTAGTCTTCCTGTTCAGGCGCTGAGTTTAGGGCCACGTGCTGACCAATAAGCATACGGATACCAATCCGGGACATGTAAAATCGGTCCAAGAAGGATTGTATCGAGTTATCGATTTGCATTCGTTGCCGCTTGCGCTTATACTCGTTAATCCCCATTGCTATCCAAGATCATCGCGATCAGTCAGTTTCATAATTCATCAAGGCGGCCAATAAAAATGAGGGAGTTCTACCCATTGTAGTGACAACGGGGTCATGACGATGTTTAATGTTTTGGAGGGTCTTTGTAAAGCGTCTGTTGTAGTCCACAATTTCTGGGGGCCACCGCACATCGTCGTCTACAGTTGCATAATACCGCCTGCATAATGTGATATTAGAAAAGAAAAAAAATTCTAATGCACTGAATTCAAAACCAACCTTTGGGCTTTCCTTCCATTCCGGATACCACTCCCATTACCGTTTGTTGGCTGCCATGGCGAGCTTCTATATGTTCCCGGCTCGATGTCTGGGTTTTCTATAACTTCCAATGGAATCGGTGGAACACCATTATCCCGCGAACCTTTTATTAACTTATCCCTTATATCCTTTGATAAACTTGGCTTTTGTAAAGTAGTAATCTCCTAGTAATTTAATAAGTTGAGGTGATTAGTCAAGCCACCACCACCCACTACCAAAATAGATGAGTCACCAACCTCAAACGACTGCATGTACCAATTCGCAACTCTTCGGATAGAAGGCATATCACTTAGACCATCCGGCAGTTGATTCAGCTCTTTTACTCGATGTGCCAATCGAATTGGTAGCTCTTCACTGAGGAATTGGGAAGCCCGAAATAAGGTCCCTGCTCGGTGTCCTGTCAACCGGCAGATTCATTGGCACAACTTCTACTTTTTTTTTTTTTACATCGTTCAGGACTGGATAACCCACCTGGTGAAGGGTTTCGCCCAAACTGAACCATTTGCCGTAAGCTCACACCGGTTGCTGGGAATTGACTGTAGTGGGTGATGGTCTCCATCAACGATTGCGTTGGTTTCCACATTGCGGCACTCGCACACCGCCGACGGTGGTGATACTGGGGGAAATATTTAAGAGCTACTAAGGTCTGTAAATGGAAGTTGATAACGGAGCTCTGATAGCTATGCTAGATAGATGGAAAGCAAGCGATTGATGCGAGGGGTGAGGGAGGGGCTGTCGTTTGTTGCAACGGGAAGGAAGCAGAAAAGCAGAAAGTGAGAGGACTTGAGGAAATGATGAATGGGGGAGTACGAGCATGTAAGTAAGTGACTGGAGTTCATGTGAGAAACCAGTTCGCGTAAGTGCTAGTGTGAGAAGGTTGTGGGGTAGCAGCAAGCGCACGTGCGGATGATCCGAGAACAGCCCGCACGTCTCAGTTCTTTGTCGGCACTCACCTCTTTTTTCACCCCTGCCCTACCCTGAGAATTGCCTCACAGCCGAGGGGCAGCGTGAGTTTTACCGGCAACGTTCCTCGGAAAATCTCGTAGTAGTGCGACGGAGGAACGGAGGATTCAGGGACAGGAACTGCGTATAAAACGGAACATTTTTGATAGATATGAATTATCCTTCAGTTGACCTTTTTTTTCTTTCTTTCACATTCGGTCCTTCGGGCTATTAAAGTCCTTTACTGTATGTACACATCGTGATATGGCTCTGGGGGGTTTGAAATCCATTCTGGAGGGGTAAATCTCACCAGCAAAAGATGTGTGAATATCATTTGCATGCAGGAAGATGGTGAAATCCGTACTACAAACCTAACCCCAGCCATCAAAAGCAAAACGACCATTCTCGGGTAGTGCAACCGGACTATTATTACAGTAAGTTCCTAGAATCACCAATAGAACATCACCAGCTTGAGCCCGCGGACCCGGCCGTGAAATGTTATTTGGACTGGGCTGTCATCATCTGAGGTTTGCTATGCCTTATTCGCCTGGTCCGTGCACCGGTCATCCCATGTTTCCCTGGATGGCGACGGGTAGCAGGCCCACTTAAATTCCTTTTTCTCTCTTGCTCACGTGCCATCGACTTATCAACCGCGTGGGAACAGCTTTTTGTCAATAGAGCATCGTAACAGCTTGTATTTGTACCTAGGTGATTTCCTCAATCCGTGGACAATTCCCGCACCTAGATGGAGCAGAGCAAGGAACCTATCATCCTACATTTCGTGAGTACTCATACTCCTACATACATAGATAATACCTTCCTCTCGCCTCATGTCATACTATTGTTTGCTTTACTTTGGACTGAGACCCTGACATCCCGCATACATACACCCCCCTTAGGACTTCGATTGTTTTTACGCGTCAGTCGTCGAGAATGAAAACTCCGCCCTGAAGACTGTTCCTCTAGGAATTCAGCAAAAGAACATCGTATGTTGGCAGTTAGACCATCCCTGCTGTCATGCCATCTGTGCATCGGGCAGAAGGGTTTCATAAATACGACATTACTGAGCTGAGAATGGGAAAAAAAAGCTGGCCACCTGTAACTATGTTGCCAGGGCCCAAGGCGTCAAGAAGCTACAGCTCATTACTGCCGCAAAAAAGCAATGCAAAAATCTAGTAATTGTTAATGGAGAGGATTTGACGAGGTTAGCCGCTGCAAGCCGGTCTTAGTTATCGATAACTAATAGTTACAACGTCAACTTGTCTTACCCAGGTTTCGTGTTGTTTCCAAAAATATATGGCTTTTCGTGAGGGAGTTTGTCTGGCACAATCTTACGGAGCGCCTAGGTCTTGACGAGGTATTTTTTTTTTCCTTCAAACCTACAGAAAAACAATTATCTGGTTGTGTTTTGGTTTGGACTAAGAGTGGGCAAAAAACAAAAACAAAAAACGAAAAAAATAGATTTTTATTGATGCAACGGAAATGATTGATTTCAATATGTCACAACTAAGATTCCAACCCGGTTCAAAGGACCCCTCATTCTTCCGCCTTTCTCGTAACGACCCCTCCGCGGGTTTTCCGTTCGTCTGGGACGAGCTACCTGGTTACACATACCCGCCCGCCGCATCGTCCGGACCCCACTCGCTACTCCACCAGCGCCTCTTTCTCGCTTCACATCTAGCCTCCTTCATAAGAACCCAGATCCTCACAAACTTCAACCACACCTGTTCCGCAGGTATTTCCACGACCAAGCTCACAGCCAAACTCGCAGGCAGCGTCAACAAACCCGATGCACAAACTCTCCTTTTGCCCGGCTTCGAAGCAGCGTTTTTAGCCGGACACGAGATTGGAAAAGTCCCAGGAGTTGGGTTCAAAAGTGCGCAGAAGATCAGAGACAAGGTTCTGGGAAGAACTACTAAAGACGAGGAGATTGAATTCACAGAGATATCAGAAAAGGTCACGGTAGGTACCGTAATATCTGTAATAACAACACCAGCACAGCTAGAGCCGCTCACAGGCGGCAACGGGCAAAAGATATGGCGACTACTTCATGGAATTGACCCTTCCAGGGTTGCCGCAGCACCAATTGTTCCAACTCAGATCAGTATCGAGGATACCTTCCGCCCCGGAAGGATCACATGCCTCAACCAACTAACCCCCGTGCTGCACCAGCTAACATTGAAGCTCCTCCAACGTATGCATGCCGATCTGATCGGCCCTGGCGGTGAGAAATGGCTTGCGCACCCGAAGAATTTTAGACTCTCCATCCGATTCCACACGAGGAACAGGGACTTTGCGCGGATGAGCAGGAGCGGGCGAATGCCGGGATATGTGTTTTCGTTGTCGACGCCATTGGATGTGGTAGCGGAGAGGCTGGTGAGGGAGGTGGTTGTGGGGTTGTTTAAAGGGTTGTGCACAGAGAGGAAGTGGGAGTTGCAGCTGGTTAATGTGGCGGCGGTTAATATGGCGGATGGAGGTGGAGGGGTCGATATTAGGGATATGTTCAGCACGCTCAGACCAAGGAGCGAAAGCTGGGAAAATAAGGAGGGGCCCACTGAATATCTGGATGGGATAGTGAACAACAGTCAGCAGTACAACAGCCCACCGGAGAAGGAGCCAGAACCAATAAAGGAAGTCAAAGAGGACGAAGACGAGGGAGGAGAGCAGGAGGGGGAGGGGGAGGAGGTGGTGGAGCTCGAATGGGGTGACGGCCTTTCCGACTCCTCGGTCGAGTACGGCGGTATCGGCTCCCGAGGTTTCTCACACAACGACCCATGCCCCATCTGCGGCGAGCGGTTCCCGGTCTTTGCGCTCGAGGCTCATCAGCGGTTTCATCAAAGTGAGACCGAGATTGAGATTCTGGGTTAATTGGGTTTCTAGAATGGAATGTTGTATTTTTTTCGTTGCCATTGAGATTTGTTTTGCAGATCCCTCATTGAGGCTGTACCTTAAAAGCGAAATAAAAAAAGTAGACCGTGCCTTGTTATTATTATATGTTGTATTATAGATTAACCCTAATTTCATTCTTGTGCCGTTTCAAGTACCATCTTCACATGTACTCTACTACAACCAGTTGCATCTAACTACCGAGCAAGCGAGTGGAGGAGGTATTACTAACTGGCAAGGTATATCTACATACATATTTAGCCTGTAATGTCCTCCTAAAAAATCGGGGTTGGATTTAACCACCAGATACCCTTTGGCAGATACTACTGGATGTGGTATTTACTACATGTATGGGGCTAGTACCTACCTACCTATACAGTACTGTGGTTATATGTAAGATAGAGTAGCACTCTAGAACCAGAGCTCTTCTAGAACGATTCCCGAAAGCGGATGATCCCTGGACCCTGTTTCTTAATTATTAGAGTACTTTACTAGCAATGCCGCATATTATATATATTGCTCACGTGCCTTTGGAGCTGGAGGGTGGTTAGGCTAGGTAAAGGGTGGCAATTAAGACCAAAGATCCGCTATGCTTCGCTTTGCACACTCATCATCCTCCACGTGATGAATGTAATAAGCGACTTTTGCTACAACAGTAGAGTGGACCGACCCGGCCGGGGCAGGGTTCTCGGTGGTAGGTAGGTTGCTGGAGGTTTGTGTGTGGTTTTGCACCGCTGGTAATTCTCGCGTGCCGTTGTCTGTTGGACTGGCTGTTTGGTCTAGAGACGTTGTGGTGCCTAGTTTGTAATGTGTTTATCGCGGCCGTGTGCGTGTGTGTGTGTGTGTGTGTGAGCCATTCTATAGCTAGCTGGTGTATCGGGCGTTAAGGTATTGGACCCTGTTGTAAACGGGTTGTTGGTGTGCTCAAGGGGGGGATGCCATGGAATGCAACTTCGTCTTGGGATCAATGCTCTTCGATATCATTCTGGACGATGTTATGTAAAATACTATCTTAGAATTAACACCTATATAATGATGGTGGCATATACCCCGATACTAAAATCTGTTCTCCAGTACTTTACTAGCTATACTTGTAGGGAGTTCTCGGTAGAAGATCAGCTACTGTTATGAACCCATTTAAGACTGGTGCTAGTAGGTAGCTCTTTCAGATGTGGGTGTGGATGAGCGGATAGCTAAAATAAACCTTGGTATGGGGCCCATGATACTGGAGACTTTGTCCAAGCGGTATATCTTAATAGTGGGCGCCTGCACTTCTGAAAGATTCGTGCATGGGTTAACTACATGTAATTGGGGGATATTATGGAATTTGCATTCTCATTTTGGTGCAATCCCAGCCTAAACAAATACATGCACCCAGCTTGCAAGATGCTATCCGATAATTATATACAGACCGTTCTTCATTATACCACCCCCGCCGATCAATCATTGACCCCCGCCAAGCCCCGCCGCGAGAGTTCTCTCTCCATCAGGTTAGCCGCCCTCCATCCCCACCTGTCGGCCGTGGAAAAACAATTCGCCGTATTACCTCATTGTTATTAACCCCACCACCACAAACAGGGGGAGGAAGAAAAAGTTGATTGATTGTTGATTGATTGACTGGCTGAGTGTTGATTGATTGTTGATTGACTGGCTGAGTGTTGACTGATTGTTGATTGATTGACTGATTGTTGATTGATTGACTGACTGATTGTTGATTGACTGACTGACTGATTGTTGATTGACTGATTGATTGGATTCCCCTCATCCTCTCCACACAGCACAATTGCAATGTTTGCAGTTACGCGCATAGCTCTCAGATGCAGTCGACCGAGGCTGCTCTCACTGCTGGTCAGGCCGCCACTGCCACGGACACCGCTTCTGGGTTTCTTGGGCGGTGGGCGGCGACGGCTGCTTACCACCGAGAGGGCTGCTGCTGATGCTCTTGGTGCTGGTGATGGTGATGCTGGTGATGGTGCTGCTGCCAATGGCGGTGCTGCTGCTGCTGGTCATTCTGCGTCTACTGATGATTCTCGGGCATTGAGTGCTGCAGTCGGTGCTGGGAGCTCAGAAACTGCGCCTGAGAACTCGGAAATCACAGACATCACCCCCGAGAACCTGCCGCCTACAATTACAACTATCAATGCTGCTACCGGCGCTCCTGCTACCGTCACAATACCCTCCCCCGAAGAATCTAGATCCACTGCTACCAGTACTGCCGCAGCAGAAGAATCCGCTCCTTCTACGACTCCTGCTGATGATGCTACTGCTACTCCCAACACCGCCGACCCTCCCCCCTTCGTCCCCCCGCCCTTCTGCCCCGGCTGCGGCGCCCCCTCGCAACAAACCTCCCCCACGCTCCCCGGCTACTACCACCCCCGCCGCCCCAAATCCGAACGCTTCACCACCCCCAATATCAAAACCCAGCGCAAGCAACGCGAAGACGAAATCTACCGCGCAGCGCTCGACCGTCTCGCCGCCTCCCTCGACCCCACCAACGCCCCCCTCCACCAGACCCCCCCCATCCTCGACACTTCTCCCCCGCCGCCGCCCCCCCCACCAAGAATCCCCCGCTGCGCGCGCTGCCACGCGATGCAGCACCACAACACGGCGCCGCCGCTGCCATCGTACCCGACGCTCGAAACACTCACGGGCCTGCTGGCGGCGTCGAGGCACCGCAGAAACCACATCTACCATCTCATTGACGCCGCGGACCTGCCCATGTCGCTGCAGCCGGACCTGCGCAGCCACCTGTGGGCCAACCTGCCGCGCGCCGTGACGAGGGAGCTGACGATATCGTATGTGGTGACGCGGGCGGACCTGCTGCTGCGCACGTGGCAGCAGGTGTCGAGCCTGATGACGTGGATGAAGAAGACGGTGAAGGATGCGCTGCCCGAGGGCGAGCGCGTCGAGGGCCGCCATGGCGGCGATGATGAGAAGTTCTGGGCGGTGTCGGCGAAGCGCGGGTGGGGCGTGGGGGACATCAAGAGGGATGCGAAGCACCGCGAGGGCGGGATATGGGTTGTTGGTGCGGTCAACGTGGGCAAGTCGAGGCTGGTGAAGGAGGTGTGGCCGGAGGCCGGGAGAGCCGTCATGGGGAGCATGGAGGAGGCCGGCGAGTTCGACATCCTGCCCCCTCCCCCCACCGCCGCTGCAGATGCAGAGAACGACCCCGACGCCCCGCCGCCTGCCCTGAAGAAGAAGAAGAAGAGCAAGAAGGAGAAGAGAGAACTCGCAGGGCTCCCCCCAGCCTCAGAGACTCCCCACATCGCCCCCACGGTCTCGCACATCCCCGGCACCACCGCGGCCCCCATCCGCATCGTGTACAAGACCGCCGGCCGCAGCACCACCAGCGAGCTGATCGACCTGCCCGGCCTCGCGCGCTGGGTCGGCCACGGCCCCACGGGGCTCCTGCCGCACATCCGCGCAGACAAGCAGAAGCTCTTCCACATGGAGGGCTACATCAAGCCGAACCAGATCACCATCAAGCGCGGGCAGAGCCTGGTCATTGCGGGCGTCATCATGCTGACGCCGCACATCGAGGGCGACGATGAGTTGGTCGTGCTGGCGTATCCGTTCTTGGGGCTGCCGGTGCATCTTACGGCGACAAGGAAGGCGGTTGGGATATTGGGCGAGCGCGACCCGGAGGGGAGGAAGGGGATGAAGTTGTATCAGAAGCCGCCTGGTGGGGAGGAGACGCCGGGTGTGGATGAGGTTATGGTGGAGGGGACTACGAGGACCTCGGACACTGTGGATGGGATGGCCGTGGACCCGGCGGAGCCAGTCATTGACACCCAGGACGCCGACGAGAGCCTAGCAGAAGAAGCCACCCCCACCTCCACCGAAGACCCCTACACCCCTCCTCCTCCGACGACGACGCCAACCTCCCCCCCGCCGTCCTCCCCCGCACATCAAATCCGCCGGCCTCTACCACCTCACCAACGACGTGACCGCCGCGCGCGACCTGCACCTGCACTCCCGCTCCCCCGAAGCGCTCGATGCCCTCCCCTACCGCATCCTCTCCACCGACATCCTGCTCTCAGGCCTCGGGTGGATCGAGCTGGTCGCGCAGGTGCGGAAGCGCCGCGAGGAGGAGGAGGGGGGGCTGAGTGTGGCGGTCGAGGTGTTTACGCCCGGCGGCGGGGGCGTGGGGCAGCGGGACACGATGGGCGCGTGGATGCTGCGCGAGAGGGCGGCGAGGAGGGCGGGGGTGGGGGCGAAGAAGGTGGTGAGGCAGAGGGAGAGTAGGAAGGGGGAGAAGAAGAGGAGGAAGGCGGGGATGAGGAAGGGGGTGGGGCGTGAGTGGGTGTAGAATAGGAAGAGAAATGTGATGTGTATAATAGGGCTATGTAACTTGTATATAGATACTCCAAAAAATTCCAATGTCACTGTCAATGATCGAGAGTCTACTTTTTTTTTAAACCCCCCGTAGAGTATAAAAAACCATTTTTTAATGATCAGTCAGGAGCGTTTGGTGGGGTCCAAAGCGGGCTAGCTAGTTCATATGAGTGTGTGATCAAGCCTTCGTTCGTGTCTGTCTTGATCTTTTAGCTTCTCGTGTAATTTGACAGAAAATGTCGTCTTAACGAGCTAAGTACTATCATCGTTTATAAAGATGCGGGCAAAATGTAGGCCTATATACTATTACAGATCTTTATCCAACGTGAGTTACGGGAGAAATGCTCAAATTCAGTTCGTGAAAGCAAAACCAGCTCGAATGATCTTACGATGATGATCAGAATAGAGGAAGAAAAGAAAGAAAGACACAAAAGAAATAGTCGAAGACACAGACTAGCTGATGAGAACACACTAGTGTTTTTTTCTCAACCTCTGTTCTGAGGCCCCCCCCCCCCCAAAAAAAAAAAAAAAAAAAAAAAAAAAAAAAAAAAAAATTGATGATGTCGTCAGTTGGGATTCGAACCCAAGATCTCCTCACAGCACTGACACCTACGGGCTGAGTTTCGGTGTGTTGACCACTACACTACCAGACGATTGGTGTAGAGGTGTGATATATCAGAATTAAACTCGCCATGACGCTATAGCGCTTGTTGCCCGTAGACGGGAGCGGGCCGCGTCAGTCAGCCCTGAGGTACTAGTATGAATGTCAACTTATGTGCCGCTACCGTAGTACGTACATGCAGCTAGGTTCGTAGCCAGCCGACATACGGTGAGAATCCACACGGCCAATGATAGAATTTACATGATGCTTTTTCATGCGCAACCTGTGATGACCATCTCTTGCTCTTCGAGTATTTCCCCATATTCCGCTATCAGCCTACACCTGGGTATTGGCATGTGGCAGGCATTGAAGTTGATTGATTGATTGATGATTGCTTGCTTGGTTTCATTCTGATAAGAAGTAGGCATTTGAGCAAGTGTGAGAGAAGAGAGCGAAGTGATGCCGGAATATATAAGATATATAAGAGTGAGTGATCGAATGGGTGAGCGAGTGGGTGTGTTGCGTGGGCGAGTACATGCGTGAGTAATATACAAAAGTTTCCCTACCGCGTAAAGGGTTTTGACTACATGTACCTGATCTACGTGGCTATATTTATGTTTGCACATGGAGGGCCTGGTGTGCTTATCCGGCACTCCTTTTTTCCTTTCCCCCCCCTTTCCTTTTTTCTCGCTTGGTTGCTACGCCAGGAACCTCCGTTGCCATGCAAAAACCCTGACTGCTATGTCAAAAACACTGGTTGCCATGAAAGGGTCTGTATCCCTCCCTTTGACTATAATATACCTAGCCGTCAAAGCATAACCTCGATCACTCCTATCAATGTTAAGTATGGCTCCGTAGACGAGCTAAGGGTGTAGACACAGAGGCCTCGGTCCGTGGCATAGCTGATCTAGCTGATCTGGTAGCATCTAGTACCAGGGCAACCATGACAGTACTACAGCTCTGGCTGGCTGTTGTTGTGTGTGGTAGCTGCACTCGGCACTTTGTAATTGCGAGTGGCCAATGGCAGGTAGAGCGGGCACTACATCGCAGTTTGAATCAACCGATTAGTTTGATATACACGAGATGGGGCCTTTCCGATAAGGCTTGCTTGGGCCACGTTGGGCCATGTGCCTATACATAGTTACAGAGCGAGAACTTCATGGCAGAGCTTTTGAAACCACCAAGAATAGACACCGCAGAGGTCTTCAGCTTCTATCCCACATGCATTTCCCGTTAGCTGGGCCCCCTCACCCCCAAGAACACCCCAAATCACAGCCTCTCACTCACCCTTCCCCCGCCCACTCACACATCATCACTCGCACCCTTCCCATGTTTGCAAACCCTGGCCCCTAGCCGGTCTTGGCAGCACCCATCCCTCGTCAACAAGCTTCCCTTCCGGCTTTCTCTCCAATCCAACCATCTCCGTCCACACAATTCACAATCCTCACAACCTTTCCTCACAATCTTCCCTCTTTCCCTTTCTCTCCCCCTCTCTCTCCCTCTCCCCCTCCCTCCCTCCCTCTCCCTCTCCCGCTCTCCCCCTTCCCTTCACCAAAAAAAAAAAAGAAAAAAGGAAGGAACCAATGTCACGGCCCACGCCACGCGGTTACCCACAGGACTACATCGTCCGCATCCGCTACCAGAACACGCTTCCGCCGCCGCAATGTCCGCCCAAGCTTCTCGACATCCCAAACAGCGCGGCCGCGCAGTTCACCGACACGTCGTTTGCGAGCAAGCTGGCGCGCACCGAGTCGCTGTGCGTGGACGTGGACTCGGAGCTGGGCATGCCGCTGGACATGGTGCATGTGCCGAGGGTGTTTGATGGCGATGACGCCGGTATTGCTCTCTCTCACTTGCTCAGCTAGTGTTCTCTCCCTCCATCCCTACTCCCGACTGACCCCCGTGGCAGCAATTAGACCGCTCGACCCCACCCCGCCCGTCGACCCCCGCGACCGCCTGCTCCTCCGCTCCGCATCCTCGCTCGGCCAGACAGCACTCACAAAGACCGGCTCCGCATCCGCAATCTCCTTCCTGCGCCGCACCGAGTACATCTCCGCCGAGCAGTCGCGGTCGACCTTCAAGGGCAGCGGCTCCACCACCTCAGACCGCATGCTGCAGGCCTCGCGCGCAAAACGCACAGCCACAAAAGACCAAGACAACGATCCGCTGCGCATCCTTCAGGCCATCCTGAAGGGCTTCGACGTCGCAAACCCGGAGACGGCCGGCCAGGGCACAATCGGCCTCAAGAACCTCGCGGCCGGCGATAAGGCCGCGGCCAACGCGGAGAGGAACTGGAAGGAGCTAAGACACCCGAATAAGCCGCAGCTGCGCGCGGTGGAGACGTTTCCGCTGCTGCCGGACTTCAATGCCACCAGCGACAGCGGCGGGTACATGCTGTTCAAGTTCTCAGCGAACCCTGTTGTTGCGGGCGCGCGGCGCGATGCGCGGCTGGACGTGGGGCTGCTGAAGCCGCATGAGAAGCCCGTTGACGAGGAGGGCAACGTGGATGCCGTGGGCCAGGACGTGTTCGACTACTACCTCCCCGCCAGCAGCAGCGTGGCCAGCGGGATAAAGCGCAAGTTTGCCGCGTACAAGGATGATCCGACGAGCGGCGACGAGGCCGTGGAGGAGGAGGACGAGTTTCGGTACGAGTATGTGCGCTCGTATGAGACAAAGTCGCATAAGCAGCACTCGGACGAGCTGGAGGAGGCGGCGCTGATCTTTCATGCGGGCGATGAGGAGAAGGCGAGGGGCGCGTACTTTTATCCCGTGTTGACGAGGTATGTGTTGAGGCCGAAGAGGAAGAGTCGGTTTCCGCCGGGGATGCCGATGAGGCATGAGGATGTGGAGGAGGAGGAGGAGGTGGAGAAGCCGCCGGAGGTGATGAATGTGAAGGTGAGGAGCTTGAATGGCGAGGAGAGGAGGAGGAGGGATGAGCAGAAGGCGAGGATGGATAATCCGAAGGCGGCGGTGGAGGAGTGAGTGGTGGACCTTGGGGGGGGGGGGGGTGATTGAGGGATTGGGGGGGAGGGACCTTTTTTTACTTTGCTTTTTTGTTTTATTGTGGCCTTTATGTGGGGTCTGGAAACCGCTTTTTTTATATTTTATTATTATTGAAGAAAAAAACACTTGGGCTTAACCTTTTTATTTAAGCTTATAAAGTTGTTATTTAGAAACACTGGTTATGAGCACTGGATCGACTGAATTAAAAGAAGAAGAAGAAAAATTGGATAAATTAATTATTATGAAAGGCAGATTCAGCACCAGAGGCACTAGATGGGCGCTGTGTTTCTGGCTTTTTCTTTCTGTTTATGCTCTCTATTTATAGCTATGCTTCCCTTTGTGTAGCTCAAAGGGAGTAGAAATTTGGGGGTGGGGGTGTGTGATACAAGTGAATCGAATCAAGCAATTCGATTATCACGAGTCGGCTCTAGCTAGCTCTTTGGTGATGCAGAGTGGTGGAAGCTAACTAAGGCTGTGTTCGGCTGCCACGGATTACAATAAACTAGCGATTTGATTTTTCGGTGGTTATAGCACGAGGTGTGGTTTTCTGAAGTGTATGGGGTGGGGCGTTCGGCCGCCAAAATTAAAACTACAGCAACTCTCTCTGGACTGTTGAATAATTAAACGCAAATTTGGGGAATCGCCTTGAGAGGTATGTGTTTTCCATAGTCTCCAACGTCAACCAGCAAGCGCTGAAAGGCAAATAATCCTCTAGAAAACCAGAACCGAAATAATCTGAAAACCTCGAGGGTAGTGGAAAAACCACAACTCGAAAACTACCTGTGTTGCAGCCGAATTATGGGCCTAACTAAAATACCTACCCCAAACCCTTATTGCCAAGAGACGACCGAGTCGAGTCGAGGGTCTAAGCTAATATAGGCTCCGGAGGTTCTGGCAGCTATAATGATGTCACGGTGATCATGAGCTCGAGAGCAACGTGTGGGAAATCTAGCACCTCTTCAATTCACGACAGAGCTAGCTCCCCCTCAATTGGGGAGAACAGACTTCTGGGCGTGGCCGGCTTTAAACATGGTAGATGGAATAAAAACAGCTGACTTGGTTTTGCATCCAATTGAAGCTATATAAAACGGGCAAAAGTTGGTGAATTTGGGAGGAGAGAGCTAGAGGCCAAACAGTACCTCCGCTGAATTAATTGGCCGGGTTTGGGTTTGGAGCCGCCGGAGGGTTAATTCCTCTGCGTGGGGGATCCCTTGAGTCCGGGGGATGATATAATTATAGCTACATATCGATATCCTTTCCTCTGCTTTGCTTCTAGGGACCGTGGGGTAGAGTGGATTACGTAGCTGCTCTATCTGTTGAAGTCTATCCGATGTGGGGCCGGACAGACGAAGGTTTAGGGGATTCTTTGGTTAGAGTTAGACTAGTGTTTGATTAATTCGACCGAGCTTCATAAAACGTCAAGATATTTTGTCAAGTACAATACTGCCTGCCTACGACACGGACAGTATCTGCGAATACCAAACGAGGGTGGAATTGCTACTCGGAAATACCGTATTCTAATTACTGCATTGGCCTGCTAGCGCATATATCAAGAATCGAAGATAGGTCTATTATTAGGTACACATGACATGGAAGCTCGAACCCACTGCAGGGTCGATGGCTGGAACTCCTCTCTATGGCCTCAGCTGTGGTCAGGCTCGGATCAAACTGGGTAGTGTCCGTCACTGTTCCGGTTCCTGATAACTCGAGGCTACGGGTGATCTTTGAATATGTGCTGTGCATATGGCGGGACAGTCGGGGGAGGGGGGTAGGCGGGTATAGGTATAGCAGGGTGGAATAACGACTGTAGGCTTGATGAAGCCATGCCAAAGGATACCCTTCAAAGAAACAAAATAGCCTCTGGCTCGAAGAGTTCAGTCTACCAAGCTCTCACAAAGAGCCAAAGGTGGGCGCCCTACAACCGGTTGTCAGAATCATGACTTGTCACTCGATATCGTGGGCACAGAAAACGTCAGACCTCGGAGCCTAGGAGCAGAGGAACATATATGGTTGTCACTATGTGGTCATCTAGAATTCGGATGCTTCTATTAATGTCTAACGCGCCAAGGCTATATTTATGGCTATATATAAGACCTCATTAGTTATATACAATATTTGAAAGCAACCGAGTTTCGTACACCTTTCGTGATATACAGTAAATTCCGCTGTATATTGCCCCCCCTAAGAACCAAGAGACCATCTTTAATCTTGCCTCATACGTGTCATTTCGACCATTCCTCGACCTCTTACGACCCCTCCTCCCATACCCGATACAACCCACCGACACCGAGTTGAACTCAGACATCCACTGAATCCTCGAGATGAAGCACCCAGGACATGACGTCTCTGTATCAATATCAACCAAAGACTTCACCTGCCCCGAGTTCAATGTCAGGATCAGAAACAGTGCAGCACATTGCATAATCCCCGGCTACCCAACCAAACGCTGGTTCATCACCCTCAAGCTCGCCCCCATCTGCGAATCCGAGGAAAAATGCACGCATTACCTCGTGATCCTGCCAAACAATGAGTCGCAAGTAGTTACCAGGCCCAAATATTGGCCTTCCTTTGAGACGTTCTTTGACCACGGCCCACTTGTGGGCGAGGGCAGCTGGGTCAACTTGGATAGCACCCCGAGATTCTTTTGTCCGCCTCCGGGCGCTGACACGGTTCTACCCATACATTGGATGATACAGCTGAGGGTCTACAAGGCGACGTTTGTGTACAATCCGCGTCCAGCAGCAGAAAGGCCGCTGGTTGGAGCAAGAACAATCATGGCCTGGAGGTACGGGAAGACTGCAAAGCGCACGTATAGCATCGATTATACCAATGAGATTCTGTATAGGTTTGAGTACCGTTGTCCTATTTCGATACAGGACTGCCCGGCCTGGCACGATATACCCAGGTGGTTTGAGGAGGAGATCAGAGATGAGCTTGAGTGGGGAAGAAGGGGCAGCTCAGCTCATCAGGTCCCTCACCACGAGTCTGAAAAGCAACAGGTTGTGGATGTATTATACCAAATGGACGAAGAAATCGACCCTCCACCTGCATACTATCGAGGGCCCAGACCAAAGAACCCTCCACTGGGTGATCTTCGGATCAGAGATCTATACCATAATTTTGAAAGAAACCATACTACGTGGAGGAAGGTGAGAAGCCCTTTGGCTGGCCCCTCTGGTAAGAGGTGCTCCACGGATCTGGCAGATCTGAGAGGGCGGGAGACGCGGCCCATGCTGAGTCCAAGGGTGCGCGCGCGCGGGCCGCGCATTTTACCTCCAGGGTGGGAAGTACGATATACCGATACTTATAGGGTATATTTTGTGAATCATAACAGTAGGTATACTACATGGAAGGATCCCCGGATACCAGTCCCAACGGTACTCGAACCAATCTTCGATGAGGATACCTTTACGGCGGGATTTCGTGCTTTCAGAAACGGTGGTGTGACTCCTCAACGGAGGCTTAAGTCATTAGAGAGCAGCAGCCTGGCGAGGGTACAACGCAGACTTCGGACAGCGCTGGCATATCTGGAAGCCGATATCCAAACCTGTTGGATGGAGGACCGGGGAGTCATGATCGGTGGCCGCCTGGATGCCTATTTCGACCACTGGTTTCCGGATCCTCACGTTGAGTTCGTAGAACGCGTCGCCCCCAGTCCCCACGAAGAGGCCTCGACCCCCCTCTATCGTCTTATAAGAAGACATAACGTAACCGTGGAAACACTGAACTTCTTCCTGAGAGGAGCTGGAGAGAAGGATATGAGCCGGGTACGCCCCCACAAACGCCCCCGGTTTGGATGTATCCCCAAATTCTTCCTCCGTGCATTGCCTGACATCTTGTCGCTAGGCGGACACGTTTGGCAGAGAACCTTGGCTCGATATCCCTGGACTACCTCCTTTGCCCGTGTGTGAGTACCTGACAGACCCGGAGCTGTTTTATAAATATAGCATACAAGAATTTCACGAGATGAATGAGAGGGATAGAGCTAGAACCCTCGCTACTCACATTTTTGTGCACGAAGGGCTAGAGGAGGAAGAGCCCGGAAAAGACAGGTACCGTGTCCTGAATTGCTTTTGTTGTCGTTGCGTTGTGCGATACTGGGATATAAGTGGGTTTTAATATAAGAGTCTGAGATCCAAAAGGATGTGGCAGTTTTATATGAGAAGGGGAGTAGCTGTCTGCTAGACTAATCCCCGCCCCGCTCTCTTGGAAAGGCGTGGTGCGAAGAGCAAGGGACAGAGGCGCGGTTTGTAAGGTTATGAGCATATGTTTTGTTGTGCTGTCTGGGTTGCAATTGGGAGGGCGAGGAGTTGCTCTTTTTGTATGGTAACTGGCGCTTGATATTTTAGGAGTATGAGAAAATCATAGCGTTCATCAGTCAGTCTATTAGCGCATGAACACCTTTCGCAATACATATCCAGGCCAATGCCGTTATTGATCGTTCAGCAATGATTTTTGCATCACGGATTATCAATCAATTAATCAATCAGCCAGGGTTGTTATTGCCATAACTGTAAGGTTGCATACAATTAATGAATTAAACAAAAAACAAAAAAAAGCCAGGGTTGTTGTAGCGAATAAGCCGAGTGATATTTGGTGTTTGAACACCACTGGCCGGGCTCGCAGGGATACTTGACTGATTGATAATTCATTAATTGTATGCAGCCCGAAAGCTATGACAATTCGCAGGGATATTTGAGAACTAAGCAAGTCGTACAAAATTGAGCAGACAACCCATGAGCGCCAAAGAACAAAAGTATAATTGAGTGGTGTCTGTGTTTAATCCGCCTCTAAAAAAAAGAAAAAAGTACTAAATAATATACAAGAAACGAAGATATGTACTGTAAAACCATTCACAATCGGGAGCGCCAGCTCCTTCCTTTCTAACCCTTTTATACAAACATCTACCGTGTAGTATGTACGTTTACTCCCCTCCCAACTCCTCGGCCTAACTCTACCTAATCTACAACCCCTCCGCCTTAACAACATTCGGCTTAACCGGGAGCTTCAACCCCTTCGCACCAGCACTCAACATCTCAAGCCTCTTACTCGCCACCCTCGCCGCATATCTCGGCAGCCACACCCGACTCCCAAGCACAATCGTCCCCGTCAGCAGCGCCAAGCTACCCGCCTGATGCGTGGCCGCCAAGTGCGTCGGCACCACATATATAAGCGTCGTGATGCCCAGCAGCACCTGCAGGATCGCCAGATGGAGCACTCCCATAGTGCCGACCTTTGCGCGCTTTGTCAGCGCCGCCGCAACCTTGGGGTTGTAGCGGCTGTAGGCGAAGAGCGCAACGATCAGCGAGAAGGTGGTGGTGGCGAGAACACGGTGGTCAAACTGCACGGTGGTGGGGTTCTCAAGCATGTTGCGCCACCAGAGGTCGGACTTGTCCGAGGTGTGGGAGTAGAAGGGGTCGAACATCTCTTTGGTTGGCGGCATGAGGCCGGTTCCCATCCTAGGGAACTCGTTGTAGATGAGTCCTGCGTCGAGGCCGGCGACAAGACCGCCGGACATGGCGGTAAGGAAGACCATGGCCATGACGACGGCGACGCTGCCGCGGAATATGCGCAGGTTGGGGTTTGCGAGGGCTTTGTATTCGGCGAGTGCGGCCTTGGGGTCTGGGTTCAGGAGGCGGTTTTCACGGAGGACGGAGAGGCCGTTCCAGAGCATGGCAGCATATACAGCGAATGCGGCGCCCAAGTGTGCGGTGAGACGGTACTGACTGACGCGTGGGTGGGAGCCAGGTTTCTGGAAGAGGTCGTCTTGGATACCGCTCTTAACCATCCACCAGCCAATGAAACCTTGGAAGCCGATGAGAGCTGAGATTCCGGCGATGCGCGCTGCCATGCGTGCGGAGACGCGGCGGCGGGCAACGAAGTAGAGACCAGGGAGGACGAAGGAGAGGCCGATGAAACGGCCGAGGAGGCGGTGCGACCATTCCATATAATAGATGAACTTGTATTCATCAAGGGTCATGTTGGGATTTAAGATGCGGTACTCGGGCGAATTGCGGTATTTCGAGAAATTTTCTTCCCAGTCCGCCGCTGTCAGTGGGGGAAGAGTACCGGTGACCGGCTTCCATTCTGTAATTGAAAGACTATGCGCCGAATATTAGAGAGAGTTTCTTTGAAAGTGTATGGGCGATGTATGGCGGAGGTGACATACCCGGACTCAGTAAGACGAGTCAAACCGCCAAGAACCACAATACCAAAAACCAAACCCGCAGATCCAATGAGCCAGTAACCAACTGCCTTACTGCTCGTCTCCGGGAAGAAAGAGCGTCTTTTCACATGGGCGGCGTCCTTGAGCGCCTGCTTTCCCGCCGCAAATCCATCTGCAAGCCCACCCAATGGCGACTCAGCCACCTTCGTACCTGCGCCCGCCGTCTCAAGGATCGGATTCTTGGAAGTAAAGGTAAACTGCCTACGAGCAAGCAGAGTTGGGGATTTAGGAAATTTCCTAGTGAAAAACGCGCCGTTTGAGAAACATCTTTGTGAGAGGTGTTGCTTAGGAATGCATTGTCGACCAAAGGTTGAACCGGCTAGTCGCAGCCCTGCGAACGCAGCAGACATTGTTCAAAAATGATTTTGGAGACTAGATGACCACGTTTGTTGAGTAACAGGTGTGGGATTTTTTTCTGTTAGTCTCTTGCACCAGAGGTCGGAGAACTGACTGATGTTGTGTGAACGTGTTGGGAGGCACGCGGGGGAGTTTTGGGCGGCGAAGTGGGGTGAGGTTGAGACATGAAAAAAATCGCGTGATGAGCTGTGCATGGAGTGGTACGAGAATAACGGCTACCCGACACCATCTTCCGTCTAGAATTGTGGAGATTTGAAAGCACAAACGGCTATCGGTTTAACATCATTGGAGGATTTGAGGCTGCTGGAATCGCAACTGATCCGTCGATGGATGCCCTCTCCATTTAATTCTGCTGCAGAGTCGGTGGTGTTCCGGGTGGTGCCAAGAATACATACGTCCCAGACTTGTAAATTTTCAGAATGTATCTATGTATTGTAGGTATCTGGAGGGTTTGTAGAGCTACACTCTTTAAGAGTACTTCGTGCATCTTATCTGTAGAAGTTGAAGTTGAGCATCCTCAATCAACTAAGGCGGGTTCCGGTGCTGCTACGGGAGTGGCCGCCCGTTAATAAATTCCAGAGCCGAGGTTCGCTCGTCAGCGCACTGGGTCTATCCCCCATTGGGATATTACACAGAGGACCTTCTACTGCTTCATACAAGGGCTATTGTTTAGCCTCAATGGCCCCCAACGATGTCTCAAAGTCGAAGGTCATGAATAACCCCACAGTTTCGCCCTGTATTGCTTTGGGCAAAAGACAGTCATCGGCGTGTGGATGAGTGTCTCTACCTACATGCCCTCCTTGCCGATGAGATGATTAATTAGCAGAAGAGTCCTGCACCCAGGATTCCAAGATAAATGTTGCCTTGTCCCAAGATGCAAAGTTCCCGAATCAATTAGACACGACTACGGAATTATCCCCTGGGCCGGTGAGACACGCAGATTCCAGGACTTCCTATCTCAGTAGTGATTTCCAGTGGCAAAGTCACTGAGCCTGATGCTTAATCACTAAGCCACGCTCTATCATTCGAGGAAACGTGACTTAGCTTTGCTTTAAGAGGAAGTCCTGGAATTCGGCCCAGGGGATAGGGTCGATGGTGCAACGTTCAGTTCGAATTCCCCTACGCGGTGCCTAAATTATCATAGATCCAGACTTTCAAAAGCCTGGTTTGCAGTATGTACCCAACACCTTCCTGAGAGCAAGGTGTTGGAGAGATAGAGGCAAAATTGCACTTCCTGGGATGCTTGTGAAAATCTTAGGTGATGGAAATCATTAGCGATACAAGCCAAATATTAGTACCGGCTCGAAAAACATCAGTGACATGATATACACACCTTGAATCGTTGAATTGGATTTAGAGAAAAATACCAAGGTTCACTTGGTGATGCTAATATCTTGTCCTTGACTTGGCTTGACTCAAGCTTTCTCCAAGACGTGGCTTGATGTCGTCTAGGCGAGCTAAAGAAGCTTATTTCGAGGCCGTTGCTGCCCGACCGAATATTACTCGTATACCAGGGTAAGAACCAAAAAATGCAAGTGACGGAAACAGTAATGATTTGTATGAGAGATCACCGCCACCCCATACAAATAATCCTTGCCCTGAGCAACTGGTTCTTTTCGTGGTAAACGAGTACATGTAGTAAATTAACTACAAATGACATGTCTATGCTTCTCGTGACTCACTCGCTTCTTCTCCTCGCCGTAGATAAAGCCCCAGATGGAATGGTAGAAGCACCTTTCAGCTTACTCGAATACAACATTGTTTGACTTCAAACGACGTCGATACCAAGCTTCTTTAAGTCGCGGAAGAATGGCATAAGCTGTAAGCAACTGTCTATTTACTACTCCACCTCGATAAGTCCGGCTCTTTATCTTCTTGGCCTTGGAGTAGAAAGAAATCTGCCAATGTTGACGACTGACCCCTCACCTCGGATCAGGACGGTTTTCCGCGGGCGTTAACAATAGGGCTCCTTGTTAGTCCAAGTGTATGGATAACAGCACCAGAATCACGCAAAACAACATAGGAACGTGATACACACATGCACCCTGGTGCCAAAAAAGAATGCAAAGGGATTATCAAATTACAATCTCCTTTACTCTGGTTGGGCCACATTGCACGATTTCTCCCGGGAAGGCCTTGGAATCGTATCCCTTCGAAATAGCTTGATTTACGCCTCCCACAAGGATGCCTATCATCATGTGCTAGGCGGCTACACCACAGATATACGATTAAAACCCAAAATCCTAAAGGGAGGAGTAGAGCACTGTTTAGGCAGGTTGCTTATCTGCGGTCCGGCCAATTGCAGGTACTCACGAGGGGCCTGCCTCTTAAGGCATCTTTCGTTTTAATCGAAAGAAACCGCTGGGCAAATCACAGAGGATTGTTGATTTGTCTGAGCCGTTGTTGCTGCTGCTTTTGTGAGCTGCATTACTATTATTTTGTGATACTACCCTTAAAATCGATGGCAGGTCCTGATAGTTGTAGCGCCGTTATGGTCTTCGACAGAAACGGAATGTGCTATGCTATGTGGGTTCGGAGGAAATACCTACTATGACAGAATACTGGCCTATATCTGAGTATAAAGAGGCCGGCTAAGAATCCGTTTCGGTGGGCCATCTCTTGTATTGCAAGGTGAACTTCGAAAGCCAGCTTAATCCCACACCGTAAGTGACCAAGACGAGCAGCTTCAATTATGAGTGGTCTTGCCATTGACGATGCCGTTATTGGCGCGAAGCACAACCCAGCTTTGGCAGAGACGATTCCTGAGAAGCATGAGAGCGAAGTCCCAACTTATACCAAGGAAGCAAAGATAACGGCGGAGGAAGATGACGATTACCCAACTGCTGAGGAGCTGGATTCGTTACGGAGGATTCCTGACAAGGTCCCATGGAAGGCTTTCCCAATTGCATTTGTGGAGCTTTGCGAACGATTCTCCTACTACGGCACGACTGTTGTCTGTAAGTCTTGCTTGTAGCCCGACAGACTTTTAGCAGGATTTTTGTAAAACTAATGCAACAGTTGTAATGACTTATAGTCACGAATTTCATCCAGCAGCCGCTTCCACCTGGATCTCGAACCGGTGCTGGCCATGAGGGCCAGTCCGGAGCTCTTGATCTTGGACAAAGAGCCTCAACCGGTCTCGGTACTTGTAAGTGTTATTTGTTATGATCAATCACGAAATATATTCACGACAAAATTTACTGATTTTATTCAGTCAACCAGTTTTGGGTTTACTTGATGCCGCTTGTTGGCGCCTACGTAGCAGATACCTACTGGGGCCGCTACAAGACCATCTGTGTAGCCCTTGGAATCACACTTATCGGCCATATTCTTCTCATCGTTTCAGCACTTCCCGATGTTATCGAAAACCCCAACGGATCGGTTGGATGTTTTTCAATCGCAATCATCATTATGGGTCTCGGAACTGGTGCTTTCAAGGCTAATATCTCCCCACTTGTCGCTGAGCAATATACTCAAACCAGGATGAAAGTAACGACTCAACCGTCTGGAGAAAGAGTGATTCTAGACCCCGCACTCACCACTAACAAAATCTACAACTGGTTCTACCTCATGATCAACATTGGTGCGCTCGTTGGACAGATTTCCATGGTTTACGCTGAGAAATATGTTGGGTTCTGGCTTTCATTCACTCTCCCAACTGCCGTGCTCATGCTCTGCCCACTCGTCATGTTTTGGGGAAGAAATAAGTACATTACGCACCCACCGGCTGGAAGCGTTCTTTCTAAGGCAATGCGCATTTGGGTTCTCGGAATGAAGGGGAGATGGTCAATCAACCCCTTTATCACATACAAAAACATGAACGATGGAAGCTTCTGGGAGAGGGTTAAGCCAAGCAACTTTACTCCTGAGTCTAAGCCAAGCTGGATGACCTTTGATGACTTGTGGGTTGATGAGGTCAGGAGAGGGTTCAAGGCATGCACTGTATTTTTGTGGTTTCCACTTTACTGTGAGTTAAACTAGTTAATAGTCTAAAATTTTATCTCAATACTGACATTTCACCACCAATAAGGGCTCACATACAACCAGATTAACAACAACCTAACTTCTCAGGCCGCTGTTATGAACACTCATGGTCTGCCTAACGACATCATGTCCAACCTCGACCCCTTCGCGCTTATCATCCTTATTCCACTATGCGATCTCGTGATTTATCCGGCACTCCGAAAAGCTGGGATTAGGTTCACTCCTATTAAGAGGATTGCCGCTGGTTTCCTGACAGGTTCTATGGCGATGATCTGGGCTGCTGTTATTCAGGGTTACCTTTACAAGCATAGTGATTGTGGAAGCCATGCTGCAGAATGCGAAACTACGGTTAATATAAATGTGTGGGCGCAGACTGGATCATATGTTCTCATTGCGATTTCCGAAATCTTTGCCAGTGTTACTGGCTTGGAGTATGCGTTCACCAAAGCACCAAGGAACATGAGGAGTTTGGTTATGTCATGCTTTTTGGTTATGAATGCTATTGCTGCTGCTATTGGTGAAGCATTCATCACACTTTCAGAGGACCCATTACTTGTTTGGTAAGCTTTTTCTTTGTTACATGCTTCCCATTCTCAGAACACAACCTAATATCATATAGGAACTATGGCTCAATGGCTGTTATTGCTTTCATCTCTATGCTCGGATTCTGGATCCAGTTCAGGAATCTCGATAAACAGGAGGATGAGCTTAACACACTCCCGGAAGGTCATCACGTTGGTGGAGCAAGAGACGCTGAAGAACATGCGATACCCCAGGCGGCATCCCAGAACGCATCTTAGATGACGAATCCGTGTTTATCTTTATTCAATGTACTGCTTTTTTTGTAGCGGTTGATGGATTTATTCATTCATAACGATTGTAAATATTTAATGGCCTGAAGGCAGATAATTAAACTGGTATGATTTATTCTAAGTGCCCATATGAAGGTCAATAGCAGGTTCCAGCCGGTACTTTCATTCATCTATCCATATTATAGGATAGTCAGGCGCCGCGTGAGACATGGGGTGGCGCGGGATATAAGCCTTGAACAGGCAGTATCTGCGTTCCTGCAGTAGTTATCGCTCAGCTTGAGGATTTCAGTTTCAAGATGCCCGGCCGGTAGATCCGTACCTTGACCGGAGGTTGTTTACTAACCAATCAATGCCAGGATTGACATTGAAGGATGCTGTACCGGGCGTGCACGTTAAATACCGAGACGCCTTTGAATGGGAACCGCCCATGGCAACCAATGAATTTTGGTCTTGGCCCTGAAATTTGTATGGGGGAAAAAAGTACGAAGACACTTCAGATATCCTCACTCAAAAAATCTAAATATTTTGCTAATAATACAAAAAAATAACCAAATGATGGCCCTTGCTCTGGCCATCACCCTAATAGCAATCCTAAACCTTCAAACATGTTTTTCGCGGAGTTCGAAAAGAGCATCAGTGGAAAAGAGGGGATGGAGGTTGCGTTGCTGCAACACACACTCTTGGCCACCAAGTGTCATTTTTATTTGAATCGACCAATAGCAGACACCCGCTAGCCCTCACAGCCCAAAAGGGGTTCTCAGTACTTACCCTTAACCCCCGGTACTCTAATTAAGGATGCATGATGCAGATAACTACTCGATTAGATTAAGATAAGATCAATTAGTAGTCTTCACTATTGTATTACGTCACTGTCAATGATCAATTGTTAGCATCGAAAACTACTACCTTCAATATGTATTTCTCTTAAGATATCGACTTTATGAATTGACATCGCTTATACTTTATTGCATATTTTCCTCTATGTATCTACAACACCGCCGCCAAAGCCCACAGGCCTCCTTCCCCCACTCTCGGGAACGACAGCCATAGCCTTATAGATCCTACCCATTCCATTCACACCTCTATCTACCAATCTCTTGTACCCGCTTTCCAAAAGCCTCTTTGTCTCATCATCCTCCCTCATACCCCCGTAAGAGCTCCCATTCTTTCCTTCATACCCATCATACCCAAGAACGTACCTTGTTGCACAGGCCCATGCACCTCTACATCGGGGCTAGCATCCAATGCCCTCTCAGCCAATGCCATAAAGTCCACATCGGCGGACAGATCAACCTCTCCGGGGTTGATAAACGGAGACACAGTCCTGTGCGCTCTGATCCCCCTAAGTGAATGCACGGGGATGTGGGACTCCGTGCCATAGTCTATAATCAGTGCTGCCCCACTCTTTGAGTCTCCAATACGGGTAGAGATAGACTCCATTATTGTTAGTGATTCCGGTGAAATTTCTATCGTGGCGTCGACATGCTTCTTGAGGGCCTTGTAACGGGGGGAGAGCTCTGGGAGGATGGCCGAGTGTGGTGTCTGGGATTTGGCCGTTGTGAGAGCGAACTCGGGAACTGGTTCGAGGGATTGGGAACGCGGGGTGTGGAGCGTGGCATGGGTTGTACGTGGGGGGAGGTGGTGGACGAGGAGCTCGCGCCAGCCGTTGGTAGTCGAGGTGAAAGCATGGATGGGAAGGGCATCGAAGAATTCGTGGGCTAGTATGAAGGGAGTTGTTAAAGTAGGGGGAGTCGCAGTGGTTTTAGTTGGGACGAAGCTGAGGTCTTCGTACCAGACTATAGGGATGCCGTATTTGCTCATGCAGCGCTCGCCCTTTTTGATAGATTCGAAGGACGTGGCTTCGCCGCAGAGGAGCTTCCGCTGGGTCTCACGAAGAGACGCGGATGCCTCAATAAGGTATATCTCGCTGATTGCATCACGGAGGGATTTGAATGAGTTCAATGTCTACAGTCACTTATTCAGTCAACTCATCGTCCCCACCCTCGGGGGTGAGCGAAAGTAGGTAGGGCCACATACACGAAGAACATCATCCATCAACGTGCCCCTCCCTGGACCTAGTTCCACTATCTGCACACTATGTTTTTTCTTTCCCTGAGCCATCCACTCGGCGACAATCCAGATCCCAATCATTTCCCCAAACATCTGGGATATCTCCGGACTCGTGATGAAGTCCCCGCGTCGGCCAAACGGATCACGGCCTTCGGTACGGGTGGTTGTGTAGTAGCCACCTTCAGGGTTTGTGAGGCATTGTCGCATGTATACTGCGAGTGAGATTGGGCCATTGGCCTTGATGGCGTCAGCGAGATGCTTCGCAAGTGGGGTTGAATAGGTTGTTGATGTTGAAGAATGTCGAACACGAGAACAATGTCGCGATGGAGCTAGTGTTTGTCGCAAGATATTTTGGAGCACCCACAACTGTGGGCGAATGCTAGGTCTCATGGTGGTTGGGAGAAGTAGTTATCACTATGGGGGTAAAGATAATGGTGGAAGAAGTTGTGACGTATGATAGCACATGAAGCAGAGCCCCACTAAAAGAATCGCTTCCTAGGTATGCAGGCAGCCACAGATCACTCTAGGTATGTAGGTATAGTTCTCGTTCAAAAATCATGGGACAACGCAACCGCGAGTTGCTACGGGGGCTTGTCCCAGGATTTTTGACATACTAGATGCCACCATGAAGACAGTACATAACACTTTTTTTTTTCTTTTTTTCTTTTTCACTCACCAAGTAGGTGATTGCGGACAGGGCAAAAAAAGAGACCTTTTACCTGCAATTCGCCAATACCCAGTATCCACTAATACCCCGTGAACGACTGCAACCATCATTTAGAACCCACAACTATACCTACTCTCGAGCTGACAGTCGGCCTGCAGAGTATGAAGCTAAGACTTCAAGCTCTAGATCAATCCTCCACGATGCACGCATGACTGCCAACACTGCGTGGCCGCCGTGGAACGCATAAACGCACTTCGTATGGCTTCCTCGCGGACTGGACCCCTAAAAAACGTGTCTACTCCTCTTTATGCCTTTATGCCTAGGGTGCATGCAATCAATGCCTGTCCCCGGGCCCCCTCATGCGGATACGGAAAATAAAAGCAGAGATCGATTAGCTATGTTTTTTCTATGCATGAGAGGAAGGCGGCGTTTATTATTGGTACAGTCCCATTCAAGGTGTTTCTCGGCCTTCGGAACCTCCTCACATCCTCACACAGAGCCTGGTTGAAACGGCATCTACCCGGTTATCCAGTCCTCACAGCTTTTAATTTATGGGGCAGCGGTTTTTTCTTTCTTTTTTCTTTTTCAAATCAACTGGGAAAAGTTAATGTGCTCACAACGTGCATGAAACCACCCATCGGTCTATCTTATTGCTCATATTAAAATTATGCAACCTTCAACCAAACTGTGTGTTAACCCTAAATACATGTGGTCGGCCATTCGCAGTGTAAATGAGTTGCCTGTGGCTCAACCTGTATTGCTAGCAATACAAACGTCTCTATAAACGACTGGCAGAAAAGCTTTTGATGCACAGGGCCGGGTTCCTCTCATACCTCGTGATACATGTAGGTACTAGTGTTTACGCAGTTGCATATATTCATGAACTCATAAAATATCACTCGCCTAGGTTGCGAGAGCACGGCTCATAAGCAAATTTCATTGCCTCTCTTCTCAATCAATTGATCTCACCAAAATCCTAGCCCTCTATAGCTATATTATAAGGTGCCAGCAATACTAGGACGTTGAGAGATAGTAGAGTCGAGACTGCCGGCGTCATCTAGTAGTACTGACAAGCGAACGAGTATATCGCCATAACTCGAAAAATTGGCTAGCTTCCAGAGATCAAAATTACTTGTGTGGGAAACTTCTGATGCAGATCGGTGCCATTCAACCAATCACTCGAGCGATAATCCCTGGCCGGAGATAGCCAATTTTTCGAGTTTTGGCGGTATACCAGCGCAGCCTCAATACTGGATCCGGACCCAAACACTTATCTCCCCCTCCACCACACACATATGTTTATATACCTCATTCCAAGTGATAAAGAGGGTTTCAATGATATTCAAATGCGGGTGTAAGTGCGCTAGCAAAAAAGACTAATATATACATAGGCACACGTGACCGCTATTCCTATGGTCGAATTAAGTACCTAACCTACATGTAGTGATTGCGCTGCATACTTCACAATTATATATTTGGCTCATATGACCATCCATAGAATTGGTGAGTATAGTATACTAGTATATAATGGCAAGGATTTAGCCAATAAGAGGCGCAGGACTTTCTGTCCAAGTGCTCGACTTTCTATTGTCCTAGCTACATGTATGTAGTAGTGCCGAATTAACAATCGCAACAAAACAGAGAGCATGGCAATAATAGCGCATATAGAAACTTCCAGGGCAATTAACGTAAATTATGCATATCAGGTCAACATACTTACATACTGGTGCCCGTCTGCACAAGGAGGAGGGAAAGCACAACCGGCAATATGAGTAGAGGGGTTGATATGAACTGATGGTATCAAACTGAAATAGGATAAGTTAACCTACCTAGTTCACTCTATATATTGCTCGCTGTAATAAACGGTAAACATCTATGGTTACCCAATTAAATATTGCAGTAGTCGAGCGTAAATCCCCAAATCCAATGTACAAACCATGTAGTATACAACTGACCCCTAGGTATACATTTAGTAAATAGTACGTATATGTCAATACCAGGATGGATGAGATATATATGTGCCGTGGTGTACAATAATCATGATCGATGGGGACGTGTTTCTAGTCAACCGTTGTGAAAATCAACAAAGTCAACTTTATAACTACAGTCGTTTCCGGGTCAACGGTGAACCCGGTTCGATGGCCAATGGGCCGTGCAATCGAAGCCAACAAAAGCCAACAAAATCCAACAAAATCCAACAAAGGCCAACAAAAGCCGCTATTCGTCATCGAGCCGGGTTCGCAGTTGACCCAGAGACGACTGTACCCAAACAACCATTAAACCCACCCAACAAATAGTCTACTTTAATTCCATATACAGAGAAACCTATCATAATTCCACTCTCTCGAAATTTCATCCCTACCAAACTTCTAGCGTTCAGAGGGAACAAAACTTGTGGTTTGCTAACAAATACCTCTCTCTAAATTCCATCCCTCCGATAATTCCAGCAGAGTTCGGCCACCGCGGAGGTAGAATTATGACAGGTTTTGCTGTAATTCAGAAGAGTGTTTGTCTTTCTATACATTAATCTCATCTCTCGATTTCATTCTTTTTTGCATTTTTGCGTTTTCCTGCAGTTGCCTGAGCCCAGCTCGGCCACATCACAACTTAGAGACATGCTGAATTCTTTCTAAGATGAATTACTTGAATGCCTCGTTTAAGTAGTACTCACGTAATAACTTTTTCTGAACCAAACTAAAGAATATCTAGCTCTCTAAAGCCTTCCTAGAAAGCCTGGAACCGTGGAACTCTGGTTTTTTTTTTAATCCCTAGTACTATGTATATATATAAAGTCGCTGCTTATTAATTAATCAATCAGAATTTGTATGCGGATCATGGTCATTTAATTTTTCTCATGTGGGGGGAGCAACCAGATTATCACCTAGTTCCATAGTCGTCAAGACTATAGAGTGATGTTTTAGTACGAGAACTATTATGAAAACTATTAACTTCAGTTACTACTAGCGTGATACACTGGCGATGTAATAAGGTCTAGTCCTAAGATTTAGAATGCAATATCAATTTATATACCCTGGTGCTAAGACATGCAGGCCAAGATTACCATAGCTGGTGTTATATATGATAGGGCCCCGTGATAAACTCAGAGCTGGAGTTATAAACTGCGTCATAAACTCGGACTGTCATAAACTGCTGTTTTTAACTGAAAACTGTCATAAACTCAGACTCAATTTTCTAATTTTGACCACCCAAATTACCCTAACCCACCCTAAATACCAATTTTTGCCCTAAAATTACCCTAGCCCACTCCCAAAATGGCTGTTGAGTTTATGACCATGACACCCAGGTTTTCGACAGCCAGTTTTTAACCAGTTTAAAACTGTCTGTCATACATTCAGTTTAAAACTCCCGAGTTTCTCACGGGGCTCTAATATATGAGGGACGACGCGTCGATATTAAGACTTAAAAAATCGATTCATGTTGTACATTGCCTCCTCTGCCTGTACTATGCTACTGACCAACTTGATCTGTGTATATATATTAGAGTAGTATTTACCATAATCTAGTACAAGACCTAAGATCCTCAAGTAGTTCCGGTATATAATCTCTTAAAACAAATGAGAATATAGCTATATAGGAAACCAAAACCAAAGATGCGATATTGGGATAAACCTAGGGAAAATTACGCAAGCTCAAAGTTTCCAAATACTAAAAGTTTTGAAGATTGGCGGAATATGGAACAATGCTTCTTCTTACAGCTGATCTCGACTTGAAATCTCAAATAACACTACTACCCTAGATTCCGAGCTCGATCTAAAATAACCAAAATTTGAAATGAACAAGAGAGATCTCGAGAATCCATACCCGGACTTATAAACCACGCAGAGACACTTAATAAACTTCTTTATGCGACATCAAAGTGCTCGAGCTCAGGGCTTTCTTCCACATAAAATTCACGCCTACTTAAGATACGGCAAACTTGTGGGACTTGGGATTTAAAAATGTACACTCAACTATAAAAGTTAGCGTTGTATAATAAAATCGGGAGATAAAGAGACTGAAGGGAGCCAATGGGTTTAAGCTAACCTCTTGATCTTTCTACTCGTGATCCTCCTGTTATTAGCTGGGCAGCGAGGCCGCGTACCCACGATGATTGTTTGGATACATGGGAGGATGAGAAATGAATTGAATAGTGAGGTTCGTACGCGTGTTGGACGCTCTGCTTATTCTCACGCTATCGGGGGTCCCTGAGATTGTGAAGGTATCTTCGCGATCGGCATTGGATTCTATATCCGTATTATCTTTCTAGTAGTTAACACAGAATAATTAGTTTTAGCCCAATAATTTCGGGCGGAATTCATTGATAATTTACTCACGGTGGCTTTCCCTTTTTTCCAAAGCTTCCAGCCTTTAAATAAACCAAGAACGCTAGCAACAGCCGCAACCACTGCAGCTGCCAACCCGGCACTATTCATACCATTCGGGCTTCCACTTGAGAAATTCGAAGATTCGGAACTCATAGTGATGATGTTTCTGTAGTACAGTGGTAGCTGCTGAATTGTATTGTGAGATCTAAAGAATTGGTCTGAGGATTTTAATGTGCAAAGCTGACCGCTGGGTATCGGTATTTAAGATAAAAGCGTTACTAGAATTGACAAAGCTCTGATTAGCTTTCACGAGAAAAAATATGGCAGGTTTACAGCCACCACTACTGGTGATAGCTGTCGACAGGTGAACCAGTGCTCGGCCCTGATGCGGTGATGCTTTCATGCAGGAGAGTTGGAGGAATCTGTGGTAAGTTTCAGAAGATGAAGTTTTTTCTAGAACATCTCATCCATGGTTTTGACAGGAGCATCCACCCATAGCTGACCCATTCAGTACCACAGTAGTGCCGGGGACCCGGCCTCAGTGGTAGGAGCGGTGTCTGTAACTATATGAAGCATATCCGTGGTACTATCCGGTCATCAAAAATTGATACTTTCGGCTTCAGAGAGGAAAAGCTCATGCCAGACTCCAGTTTCGGATATGTGCTTGGACCCCGGAATTCTCCCCAACATGTGTCTGGTCATTGGGAACGTTTCTAAGAACTCATTATGATACGAGCCACCATCCAGACCCTGGCGTCTGTCCATAGATTCTCTCTCTCCGTTTCTTTTTTTTTTTTTTTTTTTGACGCATATACATGCGTTGTACTCTAGTGGTTGATTGTTTTAGGAACTCGAGTTAGCTTAGTCGTTATCTTGTTTAATCCAATGTAACTTCTGAGAATCTTATAACACTCAGGATTTTATTTATACCCACGCACATGTGAATGGCTACCATGGTAACACTATCTTTGAATGCAATTAGTTAACATGTATTAGGAGATACTCAGGGTAAATGTTCTTCCCCGGGTGAGGAGAGAGCTGTGGGGAGGCTATAGTTACTGATAGGTATATGTACATTTGAACCGACTAATTTCAAGTTACGGTAGATTTGAACCCAATGGGTCAATAGGAGTAGTATGCCTGTTGTGTTGTGTATAGCAATATGTGCTCTTGGTTAATGGTTCGTGCCGTTATCCTGAGTGTATATTTGATCCATGATATCATGATCGAATTTAAGTACGATGTAGATATCATAATCTTGGTTGTGTCCGATTAATCCATAGGATCATGGTCACCCAGATCCATGAGACTGGAGCATGGATTTATGGGACTCGAATCCATTTGTATAAGCCGTACGTTGTAGCTGTTAGATCATGTCTACCTATTGTTTGATTTTCTGCGTTAGCTAGCTAATTATGTCAGACTCGGGTGTAGATAGTGATCGATCTTCAGCACTCACGATCTAAATTGTTTTATGATTTATGCAGTCTGTTTCTCAAGATCGAAGGAGAGATAAAAATCCTTAAGTTCAGTTTTAGGCTTTTGTTTTCCTAAGAGGTTTGTTTGAAGAAAAAGAGACAACGTTGCACGTTGTGTGTGTAACGATCGATTAACCTCACCGATAGCTGTACCGCATGTACCGACTGTATATTTGTCACCCACCAGATTCGATCTGGCAGACGGCAGCAGTCTGCAGGTACTGCGCCTGCTAAAACTTCAGTAATACATGTATTAATGAAGATATCCGATTAGTAAGGGAGTATCGAGAACCTCAATTCAACATGCTTAAAGAGCTCTACTTACTACATGTAGTAGTAGAGCTAGCGCCTCAAAGTACTGCCGTTACATGTAGTTATGTAAGCTGCCTGAAACCAGCGTTGGTGCATGCATAGCCAATAATGCGCAGGCATGAGTAGTTTTATTTTACTACATGTAGTAATCGGTTCTGCAGATCAGAGCTCTCCACATTTTCACATAGTCACTAACTATGGCCAATTAGTACCACCTTTTCCCTATGGAGAGCTCAAGTGAGGCCAGATCTTACCAAGGGGAAATGCGTGCCAAAAGATGCGCTGGTAACCAAATAGTATTGACGTTATTGACGTTATTGGAATCCAAGAACTTATGAACACGCGCCGAATCCCTACCTTAATATTATTAGCCATGCGCACACGCGAAGGCATCAAATGCGAAATAAACAGCAATACTGGGCCTCTTGGGGAGCCATACGGGCGAGAACTGGGACATGATTCAACAGATATTGTCAGCAGGTATCTAATCAAGTTTGGATTGATTCGATACGTACAATATAACATACAATCGAATTGAATTCGAGCTTACTTTTGGGGGATAGTTAGGGGCATGACAGTTGGGAAAGTTCTTTATTCCAAGTTTCGCGGCACTATGTATATATATCATGCTGCTGTAATTAATATTTGTATCAATGTACGCTCAACAACTAAAGCTACGTGTCGACTTCAATTGCGGGCGTATTCAACATTCTGTATACCGTAGCACCGGCATTACAGCTGCACTGGTCCACACTCCAAATAGATCCACCTCAAGATTCCGTGCACTTATAATATGTACTTATAATTTACTTTATTAGGTAATTCTGATCGATAGTGCTCGATCGTATCATTCTTAAACCTACATGATGGTATGACGTATATAGTACTATTATATGTAGAACCGGCCTTCCATAATATATTTATAGTGCATCTAGTGTATAATTTAAAATAAAAACCATGCCAGTAGACGTGATTACTATTTTCGGGGTAAGAATTATTGTATGTTATACAGTAAGTTAATATTAGTGGATACATATAGGTATACGTACGGCGCAAGTTGAGGTTTTTTTTTTTTATGTTTAATTCATTAATTGTATACGCAAGTTGACCTAAAGTTGAATGCATGTATCAAACTACATAAATACAAACTTCTAAAACTCACTTTTAGTAGCCGGAATCTAAACGATATGAGTACGTGGCGGAATTTTGTCTTCCAGGTACATGTGGAGATAGATATCTATTAGACTATCGACATTCAGACTTGAATTTGAATTAATGAAGGACTTCTTCCGTAGTTAAAACATGTGGATATAGATAATTGCCGCAATATATATATTATATATATCGATCTTAAGCGCCTGCGCTAAGTACGTAGTATAGTAGAGTACTATATACGTAAGCAATGCAGACTACGTATACTAGTTGCAACGATATCCGACCATTTAATTAACGCGCGAGTAGTTGCATGTAGTAATGCCCAAGTGCTCTTTTGAATTACGTACATACTCTACCTGCATGATGCTGGGTTAAAATTCATTTATCGAATAAGGTGCAAGGAGTTCTACTCGGTGGCATTACGATTATTATTTTTTTCCAGTCCTATTTGAATGCCAAAGGGAATTCGAAGTCTGTCTCAACTTTGAGCCGGTCTGGCTTAAAACTAATTCTGTCATATGCATCAAACGTGACCGGGCAGTAAAAAGGATCTACTGATCAGATCGAAATTCGAAACAGGATCTTCTCTAGAGTAAAATTCCGATGGAAAACGTCGCGTCTACTGGTATGTATGTACGTTACACATAGTACCCGTAGTAATATAGATCTAGAGGGAGATTGCCTACCTACATGTAGTGATGTGGCCCAAAGTCATTTATTGTGGCGCCCAGCTGGCCTTTGCAACATGCATGCAACGCTTATATACAGCATGATAGGCCTTTCTAGCCTGGGATAAAAAGAGCTTTTTTAAATCTTGCGTCTTAGTTTATCCTCAAGAAGAAACTAAGGCGCTTGGGTATGTGAGTGTCAATGATTGGTTGATCATGATATTCAGGGGCCTTTCACGTGCAAACCGTTGATGTTTGTAGTTTCAAATTTCGGTTTTGTGCTCCTAGAACTGCGTCTTAAATAACCTAGCTAGTGGTTAGAATGTTGGTAAGACTACACCTGGTACCATAAAGCTCGAAGTATATACTGCATACTCTCATATCATTGAACAATACTCTGGCGCTATAGCTATCTATAGCGGGGTGAGTTTATCTACAGCTTACTCCATGCCAGCTTCATAGTACCCCTGCATTTTTTGCGTCAATATTCATAGTTAACTAGTGGCGCCGCAGCTTCAGCAGGAGTGATCAGATACATATGTAGCACCATGTCTGAGTTGTCTGAGTTATTAGAGAGCTACCTGGCCTGGACGGTATGTACGCCCTCATGATCCGGTAAAGGAATCGATAAAGCACCCGACAGGTTTGAGGCGAAAGCGCACTGACCGCCCCCCCCCCCCCTTCTCTTTAGCATAGCTGGTTCGCCAGTGATTGACTTGGAAACGGGCCAATGTAGAGTATGTAACTCATTGAAGCAGAGAGAAGAAGGCTGCAAATGCGGTCGGTGTAGGCAACCACGTATGATCTGTCACACGATTGCCATTGCCCCTAAAAGATTGGTACCGGATTTTAGTCCTATCAATGTATCCATCACTGGCACCGTACGTGCCAGTGTCATATGAACGACCATTATCTATGAATGACCCGGGAAACTAAAGGGTTTAGTTGTATCTATTTGACCAAGATCTCCACAGATACCACGCGGCCATATGGTTATCTTGTTAGAACACAAACACACAACCCACGAACTGGTGCATAACCATGCACGTGAGCAAGATTAAGCCGGTGGTCTGACTGTTCCGATCTCTCTTCATAACGGTTTACAGGTTAAAGATAAGAACATTACTCTATACTCTATGCATCCTCCTAGCGCTCTACCAGTTACTCGTACTTTCGTGACGTTTGTAAAAGGAACCACTATTGCATACCATACAAATACGCGCTAAGTCCACAATGGTATGCAATAGCGGTTCCTTTTACAAACGTCACGAAAATACGAGTAGTGGTTGAGATAAATGAAAGATAGAGGGCGTTAGCTGCACAATTAGAAACTCCGGCAGTTTGGACAAAAACTTGATCATGCACATCGTAACCAATCGGAGGCGTAGGAGCTCTAGATCTGTGCAAATGCTCGAAATTGTGTGGCTAAACCTCTATTACTCTGAAGAGAAAAAAAGGTCCACGTGGCCACACATGCGTTTAATTGAACGTCCCCGTAGGATTATTGAACATAGGTATCCGTAGATGTACCGGGGTTTAAGGGTAAGTACTGAGAACCCCATTTTGGGCTGTAAGGGCCAGTGGGCGTCTGCTATTGGTCGATTCAAAAAAAAGGACACTTGGCGGCCAAGAGGTTATTCGAATTGTGTGTTACAGCTTTTGCAACGCAACCTCCATCCCCTCTTTTCCACTGATGCTCTTTAAGGTGATGGCTATCATTTGATTATTTTTTTGTATTTTTAGGAAAATATTTAGATTTTTGAGAGTATATATGAAGTGTCTTCCCCCATACAAATTTCAGGGCCAAGACCAAAATTCATTGGCTGCTTTTTGGTTGCCATGGGCGGTTCCCATACAAAATCCAGTAGCCGGGATGTGGCAGCATTACATGTATGTAGGTACTGACGTTTTTTGAACTGGGCCACTATTGCATGAGCTTGGCGTATCTTTATATGGTACGTCCACAAACGTCAGATACGAGTAGAGACTCGTTCACTCCTAACGTTTTTGGGCACGACTGTTATTGCATCCCATGCAAAACTCTTCGATTCCGTGATTTTGTACGGTATGTATTCAACAACGGTCCAGTTTACATATGAGGTGCGATTATGTGCGTGTATGCTTCGCTGATTAGTTGATCTAATGTTAATTAGAGCGTTTCGGCAACGGCACTTTTCCAAATTTCTAGGCCAAAATTTGAGTTCTTGGCTCTGCGCTGTTACAAGCATTTACAGGTTGATCTTCAAGGATCTACTGCGATTTCACACCAAAGAAGCAACGGAATCGCTTCTAGCAGCGCAGAGCCAAGAACTCAAATTTTGGCCTAGAAATTTGGAAAAGTGCCGTTGCCAAAACGCTCTAATAAATACGTACAATTAATGTGTGTTTGTATGCATACATGTATATTATAACCATGGTTGTTATGAACCTTCGCTGGTCATCAAAGATCAAGAAAGACAATTGGATTTTCGAATATCTGAGTGTGAGGCTTGTATGTATGATTCGTGATGAGATGAATTGTATGTATATATGTCATGTAGTCATACAGGTACTCCGGCCTCAGCCGCAAGGTATGATCGGAACTGAATAAAATTTACTTTACATAAGTATATCTCAACACAAGGTATAGAGGCCAAGTGTACACAAGCTTAGGTGTGTCCCATAACTGGTAAAGGTTCGTACAGTTCCTCTAAATACTTGACCTCCTCCTCATCTAACAACTTCGAACCCACCTCTAATCCTTCTAAAACCCTCTCCACGCTCCCCATCCCTATGATCGGTGCTGTGACCTTTCCATTGATCCACGCCAATGCTACTGTAGCCATGCTCCACCCTCTCTTCTTTGCAATTTCTTCGACCCTCCCTATGATCTTTGCATCCGTCTCCGTTGCACCTATGGTGTACAGCCCCTTTGAAGCTGATTTCGATCTATTCTCTTCCATTCCACCCCGCACACTCTTTCCTCCGGTTCCAGCAGGTCGTGCAAGATGGCCGCGAGCGAGGGGTGACCAGGGGATAATACCAACCCCGGTGGCCTTGCAGTAGGGTATCATTTCTCGCTCTTCTTCACGGTAGAGGAGGCTATAGTGGTTTTGCATGGAGATGAATTTCGTCCACTTGTTGATGGCGGCAATATGTTGGTATTCGCTGAATTGCCAGGTCCACATGGAGGATGCACCGATATAGCGAACTCTGATAGGCTGTTAGTAGGTGGAATTAGAGAGAGTATGAGAAGAACTTACTTGCCGCTTTTCACGAGGTCGTGAAGGGCTTCCATGGTTTCTTCAAAGGGCGTGTTGCTATCGCAACGGTGGATCTGGAGGAGGTCGATGTAATCTGTTTCAAGACGCTTTAATGACGCGTCTACGGCAGAGAAGATAGCTTTTCGAGAGAGCCCTAGATGTTTATAATTAGTTTTGAACGTTATTGATCTTCGGATGAACGAATAATATGACATACCTTGCTGGTTTACATATTCCTTCGTGTATGGAATGTTTGGAATCTTGAGCATATCCATCATACTAGTACCAGGGTCTATAAAACAATTACTATTGTATCAGTTCTGATCCATTGTATAAATAAATTGCATTAACAGTACAAGAATGCTGTTGTGGCGGAGACTTTGTCTTCAGAGGACAGCCATTTTGATGATAATGACCTCCCTTGATACATAGACTTGTACTATATGATAATCCTATGACAAGGATGCAATATATTAGGAAATTTGAAGTTACCTCCTACTGTTCCATTGCACTTAGTCATAATGACCAATCTCTCTCGTGGAATTTTAAAGTTCTTAATAGCCTTCGCAATGATCCTCTCCGAGTCACCATAACCGTAAACATTCGCCGTGTCCCAGGTGTTGATGCCATTATCATATGCGGCTTTCAGAATTGGAAGAGCTTCATCCTCGCCTAGGATCCATGGTCCCGCCCAGTTGGAATTACCAAAAGACATGGCACCGAGAACAGGGTTCGAGATCTTCAGCCCAGAATTGCCAAGGCGCGTATAAGTTACATGAGTTGGTTTTGCGTCGGAAGTCATCTTCAGAAATAGTAATATAAGGGTTTTAAGGTGACAACTAATGTAAAATGCTTTGAGACGGACTATTCAATTAATTGGGGAGCTCGAAAACTTTGAAATTATATACGAAATCCCTCGGAGAAGAATAGCCCCGTCCGAGTGCCGTCGATCCGTTGGATCAGTAGATACGGAGAAAAGTTATCCGTAAAGTCCATATTAGTTCCGGCCAAAAAGGTTCCTGTCCTCGGTGTTCCGTTGTAATCGATGTCGTTGTGACTGTACTTGGAAGCTAGATATTCGACATTCTAATCCATAATGTACCTACATACGTATCATGCAGTGTAGCTGGTTGCACATCATGTACTCAACAGGGGTATGCTACAAAGAAGGCTAGTATCAAAAAAGGTTAAATGAAGCGCAAGAATCAATTAATAATTACATGTAAGCCTTGGCTCAATCAAGTCAATCAAATATTGAATAATATCGATGTAATTGGATATGGTTGACGAGTGAGATATTGTGAGTGACTAAGCTGTCTGCCTGTTTTGGAAAATGCGGTCCTACGTGGGGGGTAAAAATTGTGGCTTAATGGATTCGCTTATCTTTCTTAATGCTTCAACGGCCGGCTAATCAGTACAATAAACTAACTTCTACAGTTAACGTCTCAAGAGGGCATCCCAGCTTTGGCCTCGTGTCTATCCCCACCTAGCCTGCCCCGGCCAGGTCAACCTCGTAGTTGTCGATGTGAACTGCATACATGTACAGCTATTGGTAGAATTATTGCGTTGGAAAATCGCCCTGCTCTCGGCGTGATCGTCGGTCCCTGTTTCCGCAATAATCCTACCGATAACTGTATATATGCGCATATCTGTATGCAATGGGACTGGTATGACAAACGACAGCTCAAGTTACCACGGCCGATCGAGAATGGATCACACGATTGCATACCCTACTGCTCTAAAGCAGTATGTTGAGGTAAGTACGTCTCCTAGTTCGGGATCTTCCTTTACATTTCCAATACATCATCTTTCCCCGCACACAACACAAGCCTAGAGTATTCGATTACATATAGGTGCAGTTATATTAGCCATTACGGCCGTTAGGATGCTTACAGATTTTTATTGGCGTTTTTAGCTTACCAGGTTCATCTAGCTCCAGATATCCTTGCGAGACCAAAGTCCAGGCTCACTCAAAATATCATACTGGTCACAGCACACTATTCGAATAGAGATTATAGGATGATATTAACGGCTGACCTATATAGAAAATCAGCCTATACCCCTGTGCATACGAAGACGGGTTATTACTCGCAACCGACAACAGTAAAAGCTTCCCCGGTATTGCGGAGTTACCTTGATTGGCGAACGGTCAGTCTACGTCTAAAAAGTTTCTGAATGGTCACATGTAAGCATCTACCCGTTTCTTTGTACTCTAACCCTCCTGAGTATCATCTAGAGTGCATAGAATAATAGGTTTCACACGAGTACTCACATTATCGACCATTCAGAGATCGTTCCGAACAAATGGAACTCCAGAAGTAAAGAGGGAAAAGGGATGGAATATTCTGCGAAGTAGGAATCTTCCGGATAAGGCTTGACTCGGTAGGTCTTCGGTGATCAAGTACCCACCAAGGAGACCCTCCAATGAGCCAGGGTTCCCTCGGACAATTTAGTTGAGCCAAACCAACAAGACACTACAAACTTGCGTTTGATTAGACTAAAATAGATTTTTCCAGGTTAGCAATATCATAGGCTACATGATGTAAGCCCTAATTCTACCAAATATCTACTTTTTTATTATAAACACTCGGGTCCGAACCAAAAGAAAAAACTCTGAAAACTGTACTATCACGTTAGACAAACATAAAACTACAGAGAACCGCCGATTTCCATTCTTTTCATCATAATCTACCTCTTGAATTTATAATCAACGCCATATATTACCATCACCCCTTCTCTTAGTCCTCCTCCTCCTCCTCCTCCTCCTCCCCCTCCTCCTCCTCCTCCCCCTCCTCCTCCTCTTCAATGAGTATCACTCTTGGTCCTACAAACATCCCTCTCCCTTCCAGCCACCACGCAACCGTTGATACAATAACAACACCCAAAAATACTACCGGTGACCAGTTTATATCCCCCCACGTCTTTGGCACACTTGGTGGCAGCATAAACAGCGCCGTCACACCAGTCGCAAACGCCAAACCAACGCCATTCACCGCCCAACCTACCCATCCGGTCATCCTAAAGCCCTCTTTAGTCCCAACCAACCTCGTCCTACCGGTAAATACATTTATTGCTACAGGAGACCCGTAGGAAAGGCTGAGAGCAATCACACTGGCGGACAGAAATGCATTCAGGGTGTCTGTGGAGATTAGGTATAACCCGCCCATGAGCAGTACTGGAACCGCGGTGAGGAGAAGCGCATTAACAGGGACGTGGAGCTTAGGATGTATTATCGAGAATGTCGAGGAAAAAGGAAGGCCTCGGTCTCGTGAGAATGCATAGAGCATGCGGGATGAGGTGGTCATGATCGTGGTTGTACCAAAAAGGAGACAGACCAACGGGAAGCTACGTATACATAACCTATTAAAAGCAGAAGATATAAGAGAGTAGTGACACATACATTAAGAGACATATAGAAACGGTTTTACTCCCTGTTGAGTGGTAGAATATCGCTAATATAGGCCTTAGGGATCTGGTTAGCTCATTGTAGTCATGGAATATCACTCGGAGGATCATACCCGCACGGTGCACTAATAACCTCCTCGATGGACCCCATGCAGAACAATAGTACCAGAAGGAACCCAAATCCCGTTACCATACCAATAAGGACAGCATAGATCATGATTTTAGGTCCCTCACGCGAGGCGTGCGGAATCTCTTCAATCATATGTGCGACAGCATCATATCCTGTCAGGGCCAACGAGCCCTGAAGGAGCCCGAGGGACCAGGCTATGCCATTAGGCCAGCCAGTGTGGTTGACAAATTTGGTGAAGACAAAGCTAGGGCTTTGATATCCGGTTCCTGCGGAGGAAAATAACAGCGTAGCAGAGATTACGATGACCCCCGAGACGGACCAGATGACTGCAAGACTGGTAAGTAAACGGGGTTTCGAGCTAGGGGAGGGAGGTAAGTCGGTACATGCAAATCTACTGAATATCGGCAGCACACGGCTTCCAAAAACATTTATCGCGAAAGCTGTGACCGTGAAGGCAACATACACGGACAGCATTTGCCCCGGGGTCGCTACATATTCCTATCGATCCATACATCAGCATCATGCGCATATCCCCTAACACTAACTACCAGGTGCTAATAATTGTTACTACTAACTGCTGCCCCTACTAATCTCAATATCAATACTAACCGGATCTAACAAACTCGCTATGCCTACAACCATCTGGCTCGCCAAGCTCCCGCCTGTCGCGACCAAAAACACCCAGCCAGAGCAATTAATCCAGCCACACATCCAGCTCAGCAACGGCATCCATTCTGCCGGTGATACGACCGCAACCCAATGGTATTGCCCCTGTCACGAAAAAAAAAACCCAAAAATCAAAGTTAAGCTTCTCCCCGTAAGCTTTCCCATGTGTAAGGGGGGAATAGACTTACACCAGCACTACATCGCACCACATCACATGTCAGCCAACTTGCACCACACAACCTCACCCAATAAAAACTTACGTAGGATACTCAGCCAAAAACTCGGCCAGCGACGCTGCTAGACACAAATTGCAAACCCCGGACACAACAAGGCCCCACACGACAGCCGAGGGCCCGCCGGACGGGAGCGCGATAGAGAGCGAGGCCGAGAGCGCAGTCCACGAGTTAAGGATCGCGAATGCGAGACCGAGCATGGACAGCTTTGTGTGGTTCCGCTCCAGCGCCGGTTTGTGGAGTAGGGGCGCGTCTTCGGCGGTCGCGGGCGACCGCGAGAAGAAGGAAGATGGCATGGTACGTAGTAGGTGGGTATTGTACTGCGTGTTGTAGTCAACTATGTGGTTTGGTGGTGCGTGTACGAGAGCGCGTAGTGGGCTGGTTATCTACGCGCACGGGCACTTATCTAGCTAGCTGTCGTTGACATCTACGTAGGTATAATATGTAGCTGGCGTATTCCAAGAAAGAACTTGTGAAATGGTGTTGATTATTTAGATTTCCCCAAACAGTTACCTCTAACAGGTGTCTTTCCATTTATTTTGGCAAGTATCATTTGCGCCGTTGACATGTCTGTATTTTGAAACAGGCGACACGGCCATTGGTCAGGCAGCCTCCTACCACTTAATTCCAGGGTCGCATTCAGCGACGATGCCATGTGAATTGTTTCTAGGTACAACCTCCGCATGCAGTTATAAACTATGGCGTAAAGACCTATCCCCAATGCCAGACCCTCAAATTATAGTATATCCCGGTGTTTAATATTCCTCAGTCAGGGGAAAAAACAAGGCAAGGCAAAGCTTAATCAATCCAGCTGCCGTAGTTTAATTAGAGTTTGGCCTATCACGGATCTTCCCGAACATTAATGTGATATGGCGGAATAACAATTTTCCGCGGCACGATAATGCAGCATGTATGTAGACCGTGTGCACCTGTGTCGAGCATGTACCTGTGCCGAGCACCTTATAATAAAGGCAGCATTTTAGCCACCATTTGGAGCGGATCCCTAGAGATCAGATAAGATGCTCGGCACAGGTACATTCTCGGCACAGGTGCACACGGTCTACTTACCCCACCGTAGCTGATAGCACAGCTAGCTGTCCCCGCCAGCCCGGGACACAGCTTAACTTCACTTCATATCTCAGGATAACATAGGAGAACTCAACTCACCTGCACCAAGCTCGATAATCCCAAAACCCCCTGCAGCATCCCAGATAAAAAAGACTCATCCATTACAATGGCCTCAATCTCTACAAGAATCTCCATCCGCTGGGTATACCCCTCCCCTCCCTTTCCCTTCAGCCCCCTCCCCTGGAGCCAAACAATAATAAGAACAAAAAGCTAACCTCTACACCCCCCCCCCCTCCTCCT